TTGAAATCACCTATGCCCAGGCATCAGCTTTCCAAAGCCCTCCAAGTGTGGACAATGTGCAGCCAGGGTTGTGATATATGCCGATGCAGCCAGCTGCCTGTTGCAGGGTGTGCAAACGTCCAATTTGACAAAGAAATGCCAAACCGTTTTCCAAAACTGTTGTACCAGCTCACCTTCCCTTTGACTCACTTCTTTGTCAGCTCTTGTTTTTTTTCAGAAGTCCTAACATTTGCAGGTAAGGGGAGAGGTGAATGGTATCTTCTGAACTTAGTTTGCATTTCCCTCAGTTTGGGTGTTTCTGGCTCCTTCTAACACATGCTGCAAAGCTAGCCTTGTTTTCCTGGGGATGAGTCCCACTGACACCAGAGCTGGATATCTGAAATTGTGCAGCATTAGTACAACTTTGTCTCCTTTCTAGAGAGTCAACCACCCCCCGCTGATCACTATCCCTCTTCCCACTCCCAGATCCCTTGGGACCATGACTATCCAAAGGCTGCTCTGCATGGTGGGAAGGAAGAAAGGCCCCTTGCCACCCTGGTTGCTGGGCAATCACCACAGCAGTGAGGATTATAACCATCTCTCACATTTAACTCAGAGCTTCCCAGTTCACAGATGTACTTTTCTACCTGTTATCTCACTTGATCTTATAGCAATCCTCTAAGGAAGGGATCAACATTCTAAGAACCTGGATGTGAAGAGATATGTCCAAGGTGACCCTGTTAGTAAGCGCAAGGCCAAGGTTGGAGCCTATAGGAGAATCCAAGGGCAAGAGAAAATAGACGCTGAGGCGACAGTGGCCCTGCTATTGGAGGTGTCCAGGCTGGGGCAAGCTGATTCCGAGGGGCCTCAAACACCAGCAACAGGATGGGTCTCTTAACTCTTAAAAACTCTTCTGAACCTCTGGTGCTTTGATTTTAAACCGCCATAGATGACAGCTGGGCTATCTCCGGATTAAGTGTGTCTTTCCCCCAGGTGTTCTTCCGAGCAGGGATCCTGGCCAAACTTGAGGACATGCGGGATGACCGTCTGGCTAAAATCATGACGATGTTACAGTGTCGGCTCCGGGGTTTCCTGATGAGGGTTGAGTTCAAGAAGATGCTGGAACGAAGGTAGCACATACACAAACACCACGGGGGCAGGACCACTAAAACCACACATGTCCACACAGAATGATCAGGGACCCTGCAACACACACAATGGTCAGCTCCCTTAGTAAAACAGCGCAATGAAAGGAAGGGAGGGTGCCAATGTCTTTGCTGGCCCACAGAACCCTGCTGGGGTCCTGTGTTAGTTTCCTAAGGCTACCATAACAAAGCCTCACAAACTCTGTGCCTGAAAACAACAGAAACTTATTTTCTCAGTTCTGGAGGCCAACAGTCTGAAATCAAGGTGTTGGCCGGCCATGCTCCCTCCGGAGGCTGTAGAGGAGGAGCCTTCCTTGCCTCTTCCAGACCTGGTAGCCCCAAGTGTTCTTTGGCTTATGGCTGCATTACTCCAATCTCAGTCTTCATAGGCCTTCTTTCTATGCCTGTGTCTTCACATCATCTTCCTTCTTTTTATAAGAACACCAGTCATCTTGGGTTAGGGCCCCACCCAGCCCCACCCTATTCCAGTATGACCTCATCTGAACTTAAGTAATTACATCTGCAAAGACCCCATTTCTATATAAAGTAATATTTACAGGCATTGGAGGTTAGGACTTCAGCATATCTTTGGGGAGGGGACACAATTCAACTCATAGCAGGGACCCCCTAATATAAACCCTTCTCCCTACAGTACACAAGCCACTTTCACAGCCTCCTCCTTACTTAATCCATATGATGATGCTGTGAGAGGGGTGTGGGAGGGCCGGCATCCCCATTTTACAGATGTGGAAACTACAGTCAGAGGGGCTAAGGAACTGGGCCAGGTTCATACGGAAAGAGTCAGGATTAGAACCCTGAAATCCTCATTCCACACCCTTGCCCTCAGAATCCTGTTTTTGAGTCATCTCCCTCAAACAGTAACTAGAAAATAGCTCAGGTTGCCCCTGCTGGCTTATGGCTGACTCTGGCACTCTTTGTGCTCATAGTATTAGTAATAATAACAGTGATGAAGTCCTGATCTCCAGCAGCAGGCTCTCTGTGACCCCCGTGGAAGGCAGGGACACCGGTTAGGGGCTGAGTGGTGGGACGGCAGCCCAGTCCAGCCCAGGGTTTTGGCGCACAGGAGGTCCTCAGTAAATGACAATGGAATAAAGCTGCAAGGAACAAGGAGAAGTGGATTCCCAAGATGGCAGATGGATGGGATTTAGTAACTAATGGGTGATTTCTGGTGAGAGAGTGGATGGAGTGTGTGTGTGGGCGGGGGGGACAGCGATACAAGAAGCAATGAGTGGTCTGCCTCAGGCTTGTGCTGTCTGGGAGGAATGGTTCCATTAGGGAGGCCAGGCCCTGATACCTGCATCTTAACCCATGCAACACCAGATTCTCTTTTGCAGAATTGGCCTGAAAGTCATCCAGCGGAACACACGCAAGTTTCTGGAGCTGCGTTTCTGGGGCTGGTGGAAGCTCTACAACAAGGTGAGGCCTGAGGGGCTAGGCAACTGAACCACTGCTGAGGGCCTCAGTCCTGGGCAGACGAAGGTGCCACCTGGGGGTGGGAAGCCACAGGATGCCACAGGAAGAGTTTAAAAAGGAAAGCACCTTGGAGACAAAGGAGGAGTCTAGCCTCCTTCCAGACAGAGGCTAATTCCTCCCTGATAAAAATCACAGTATGTCTTCCTGCCTTTCATCTCATCCCTCAAAATAAAATCCACTTAGGATGGAGAGAGCCCCAAAAGGGGGCTTGGTTATCAGTGCCTCGTCCCTGGGGGTTGAGGTATCTTCAACTCCTTTAGTTCAGTCCTTGGCTTCAGAGCTGGGGAGGCCTCAGGAAATCATTTCTCAGGTTCTTCCAAGACAGCAGTGACGGCTGTGTCAGTCAGTCGGCCAGTGGGCCCGTAGGTGCTCCAAGCATCCCGGCTGCCCTCAACCAATGCAGGAGGCCATGAACCATGTTATTGCATACAGGTCCAATCACACTGGGTCATGGCGTCTGACCTGGGGCCCCATTAAGAGGGGACACGCCACTGGGCACCAGAGGAACCCAGATGCAGGGTTGCCACACTCAGGAGACAGGAGAAGGGTTACCTCAAGGGGCAGCCACGTGGAGGATTAGGACAGGCTCCAGGTCATCTCTGGCGGCCCTGAGCCCCTCAGCTCGTGCAGCAGCTTCCTTTCCCTCCCGTAGGAAAAAACTTTCTAACAATCAGAGCTGACCACAAATTTAAAGGGCAGGATAGTAAGTTCTGCACTCCCAAAGGTGCCCCCACACAGGCCAGCCCCCTTGAGAGCCTGAGATTGCAGAGGGTTCTAGATGCACATTTCTCAAAGTTCAGTCATCACCAGCATGTTCCCCACATGTTCTATGACTGATCTTTTTGCTTTACATCAACTTTTTTCTTTTGAAATTTTTATTTTAAAAGGAAACTTTGTATCCTTAACTTACTTTAATTTCATCCTAAGCAAATGTTATCTGTAAGATTGTGGATTTAACAAGTTCTTTTTCATTTAAAAAATTTTTTTCAAAATTATTTATTAAATTATTATTGTTAGAAATTAGTTTTATTATTGCTAGAAATTATTTTTGCAGTAACTATGTATAACAATGAAAACTAAACCGTTTCTATGAGATGCTTAAATCCATCTTACCTGCGCTTTTGGTATACATATTACCCTTTGGGAAGTCCCAGATCAACAGCCTTTAAGATCCTTTTAAACAGGACACAGGTGGCCATAGATGACAAGGAGACAGAGCCTGGAAACTTCCCTGCCCTTTACTAGAAAGTAAAACTTCACTAATTAAACATGGCAGGGCAAGGTCCTATCCCAGTGAAAAAAAAACCATAAAATAAAAATCCTTTACTCTTAATATAGTAACTAAGCTCTAATATTATTTAACTAAGCCAACTGGGATGAATCAATGGGGGAAAAAGACAACACTTTTTAGTAGGCTTTCACTGCATAAAAAGTGTTATATAGTTGCAAGTTGTGGTGCTTACTATAATCTTTTTATGCAAACTTTGCCACTTCAGAGAGTAGACACAAGAGAGACAGACATAGAAACAGAAAAAGAGAAACAGAGAGATGGAGACAGAGAGAGATACAGAGAGAAAGGGACAGAGACAGATGGGAAGAGAGAGAGAGAAAGACACACATAGAGAAACAGAGATAGATAGAGATAGAGACAGAGATGATGGAGATGGAGAGAGAGAGAGAGAGAGAGAGAGAGAGAGAGAGAATGAACTCAATAAGGGAGAAAAGTAAGGGAAAGCAGAGCTGTGATGTAGCCAGGCCTTCGAGCACACACAACTTCCAGAACAGATGTAAGCACTGGGTGCAGCTAGATGCTGAAGACCATCAAACTTTCTGTCTCCCAGGATCAAAGAGCATCCTAAGGGTTGATCCTAAGCAAGGATGAGCCTTCTCTGTGGAGGCCAGATGCTTCATGGCCTCTATGGAGAAGGGCTCCTCACAGCTGCAGCAAGAGCTGCTTTCCACCCCAGTGGAGGTGTGAGGCCCAGTCTGAGGCAGAGCCCCCAAAGCCCACCTTCTGGCCCCCTGGCAAAGCCCACTCCCCTAACACTCTATGGTGTTGCTCGCCGCCCAGGTCAAGCCACTTCTGAATGTGGCACGGCAAGAGGAGGAGATGAAGGCCAAGGAGGAGGAGCTGAGGAATGCCATGTCCAAAACACAAGAGCTGCTAAATAAGGTCAAGGAAATGGAAGAGAAGACGGCCACGCTCAGCCAGGAGAAGAAAGACCTCACCATCCAGCTGCAGGCCGTATGTGGGGAGGGATGGGATGGGGGTCTTGGTAACTGTCTGGGCCCCCAGGATCACTATGAGTCAGACCTAGGGATGGAGGGAGGGTGAGCCTTCTGAGAATCTGTGTCCCTCCAGACCAGGAGAAATTCCCAGTCTTCTTTTTTTCTTCATTGTAATGTCACCCTTAACCCAACTACCAAAAAGTCTCTATCAAATTCTTATTTGCCCATAGCAGTATGCACATACATGCTGGGCCTAAGGGGACTGTCCACAGCTCGGGCCACAAGATGTGGCGGGAAGAGTGCCCCCTCAGTGAGCCTGGCTCTGCCATGGCCCTCAGGAACTTGCTCTCCTTCCTTGTCTCCTTTCCTTGCCTGTCAAGTGCAAACAGAGCAGGGAGAACAAATGACCTGGTTTCCATGGGTGCCTGACTCAATGCCCGCCATCCCTGCATTTCAATGTGATAACTGCAGTAACTACCATGACCCTTCTGGTTTACAAAGGGTCCTTCTTGAATTTGACCCTCTCAACCTCCCCTTAAGACACCCAATTTCCATCTGTATCCTACAGGGTAGAAAACTTAGTTTGACCGACATTTAGAGACTTGATCAAGGTCTCAAGCCCATCCATAGAAAACTCACAACTGGAAGGGTTCCGATTCCATCCTGGGTCCTATCTGCTCTGCCACAGCCATGTCTACGAGGCACTCACACTGTCTGCCCATTTTCCCCAAGCTGTCTCTAACATCATTTCTCCACATCTTCTTGATACCCCTGAGACGTTGCTCAAGCTGAGATCTTGTTTTATATTTGGGGAGACTGAGGCTGACTGAGATCACAGTAATAAAAGAATCTTCCATTCATAGAAGCACCTAGCATGCACACAGCTGGTCCAGTCTTCTGACTCTATGGCCAATTGCTGTCTTACACCACTGACCCAGTCGGGGAGACTCCAGGGGACACCCAAGTTGTCCGTTCTCTGCCACTTACTGCCCGTGTGACTTTTGACAGCTCCACCTCTGCTAAAACCTTAGGGTGCATCTGATTACCAGGGATCACGTTAAAATGCAGATTCAGGTGTAGCAGGTCTCACAGCAGGCCTGAGATTTTGCATCCTAACCAGCTCACAGGTGCTGCTGCTGCTGCTGCTGTTCCTGCTGCTGTTCTGAGGACCACACTCCTAGACTACACTTTGTATACACATCACAGAGGAGCTCAGAGCTAGCCCAGCCCCCTATTCAACCCCAGAACACATTTGTTTGTGGTCCATCAACCTGAGGACTGTCCGCCATCTTGGTCCCCTGCAGGTGCTTGGACTCCACTTTGACTGGGGCTTTTTCTTTCACCAGGAGCAAGAGAACCTGATGGACGCCGAGGAGCGCCTGACCCAGATGATGAAGACCAAAATGGATCTGGAGAGCCAGATCTCGGACATGCGGGAGCGGCTGGAGGAAGAGGAGGGCACGGCTGCTTCCCTAAGTGCCACCAAGCGCAAGCTGGAGGGGGAGCTGAGCGACCTGAAGCGTGACCTGGAGGGCCTTGAGACCACGCTGGCCAAGACGGAAAAGGAGAAGCAGGTGAGGAGGCCCTGGGCCCAACCACGCTCTTCTCGGGGCCAGGGAACCTCCAGCCCACTCATCCTACAGGGACCACGCCTGGAGCTTCCATATCTGTGCTTCCAGGATGCTAGCCACCATGGGGCTATTTTAACTTCACTCATACAGTTTAAAATATGATTCCTCAATTGACCTAGCCGCATTTTGAGTGCTCAATAGCCACACGTGGCCAGTGCTACCATTTTGGACAGATCAGACTGAGAATGTGTTCGTTGTTGCAGAAAGTTGTGCTGGACAGAGCAGCTGACTAAGGGTACTGAGAGCTCTTCCCGTCATGGTGACGTCCAGGCTCAGGCCTGACTCGTTCTCCTCAAGCCTGGAATTCCAGGCGTCTGCACCAGCCTGCTGCCCACTCAGCCTCAGCATCCCTGGGCTCCTCTAGAATGTTCTACAGCAACACCTCCACCCTTCCTCCCTTCCCAGAAGAGGCAACCCTATCAGTATGGTGGAACCACCTGTAGCTGCTGGATTTCTGCCCAAACAAACAGCTGCTGCCCCTCCAAGGGGGACCCCCTGGTTCCTGATACCATCTGGCTGGCCTTTGGCCCAGAGGCCTCCTTTCTAACCTTGCATGTGGGAGGAGTCCATGAACAAGAGAAGGTGGATGCTGCCTAAACCCATGCTCTCTCCAGCTCTGATGTGCACACAAACCATCAAGATCCTGATAAGACACAGGTTCTGGGTCAGCAGGTCTTGCAGGGCCCCGGGATCTCTGTTTCTAACACTCTCTGTCAATGCCATAGCTGACGTCCAAGGATGAGACTTTGAGTAGCGACATCCTGAACTGGTGGTTCTTGCTCCTCCCCTCACCCCAAGATTCTGACTTGGTTGTTTTGGGTGTGCCCTGGGTGTTGGCATTTCTCAGGCTCCCAGGTGACTCTAGAGTACAGCCAAACCAAGGACCCTCTCTCAGAACAGGTGCCTCCCCCCTCTCCTCCCACAAGAAGGTGTTCCCAGCCTTAAAGACCTGTCTCTCCCCTTCCCCGGTTTCCAGGCCCTGGATCACAAGGTCCGCACCCTGACTGGGGACCTCTCGCTCCGTGAAGACTCCATCGCCAAGCTCCAGAAGGAGAAGAGGGCCCTGGAGGAGCTGCACCAGGTAGGCACCACCCACTTCTCCCTTTGGCAGATCAGGCAGAGCTCAGAGATGAGCCACTCTGGTTCAAATCCCAGCTTTGCCACCCCTCTGGTAAGGGCCCTTAGGGAAGTCACAGACTCTCCCTAAATCTCAATTCCCTCATTAGTGAATGGGCATGGTCACATCTTGATGCCTTCCTTCCAGATTTGTTGTAAGTGGAGTCACTAAAGAATTTGTCACCCAAACTAGGACACTTTGAGAGTGAAAGGGGGGCAGCAGGCAGGAATTAGGATGGTCCTAATGGACATACTGGGGGGTATGGTCCCCAGAGTCATAACAATGAAGTGGGATATATGGAAATGTCCTGTGAGCTCTAAAACACCAGTGAACCCTGATACATCATGGAAACAAGTAGGCATGAGCTCTTGAGGTCATAGGGAGACCCACCCAACAGTTGCAGGCTTAGGCACCAAAATGCATGGCCAGCCAGCTCTGACCAGCCACCAGTGCTGACTGTGGCACGAGGCACCTCCTAGCTCTGGAGACACAAGAGCAAAATGTGTGTTGAAACCCAGGACTGGACAGTGGACCCTCATCCCTGTGTTTGCTGACACCATGAATCCACAACATGTCCCCTGAGCTGCCTCTGGAAATACCTCCCCTTAGACTGTGACTCTCAACCATATCAAACCCAGAGCTTCCTTTTATAACAAATGTGGCAAGTTCTCATTATAAAGTCACTGCACACACTGAATTAGCAAACACTAAACCTCTGCTCCTAGGGGAAATTTAAAATTAGGCTCCTGCAAGCTCCTGGTCACAACATTTTTGTCAACCAATCAATACATAATACATAATACAATTACGATCAATACATTATGTTGCTTTATATGTGTTTCTGTTAAAGACATCTTATCTAGTACATACTATTGATTCCTTAACATTGAACTCATGGTCAGCAGCACTATATATCATGCCTGAACAAAGCTTATCTAATACACAAATTTTCTCAGTAAGGCACACCAAAGCCTTCTTGCACTTACCAACACTATTCAACACTGTGCTGGGGAGCCATTTTAAACAGCAAAATCACCAACTAAAAGCACAAAAATGTGAAAACGTGGCACTAAATAGACTGTGAAAAGGATACTTGTTTGCAGTCTGAGATGAAACAAGAAAGCAGAGCATCACCTCACTCAACCTCAGCTGAAAACCCCAGGCAGTTCAAATTTTTTACCACTCGTCACAAGTCCATGAGTGGCCATGAAAGCACCACAAGTGGGGATTACAAATAAATTTTAGCAAGTAGGTAAATTAGCACAAAGGTAATCCACAAATGATGAGGACTGACTGTATTTTGGAAGGCTCTCTTACGATCCTGAAATAAAAATTCTAATGATATAACTAATACATAGCTTCAAAAATCAATAGAGTTCCCTTTACTATAAAGGAGAAATGAATGGAAAGTAATTTATAATAAATAATGGGGCTGTCAGTGTGTAAAATCTCAGGCAGATTGACTAGAAGAAATTGTGAGCAGTGAGCTGTCTGCCCAAGCCTGTATAGAATGGCTGCAAAGGGGCACAGGAGGGTTTCAGTAATAGGTAAAGTGGTAGTGGGTCTTAGGTTCAGAGAAGGATAAATGGTTGTTTCACCTATATGAATGCCTGGGCGGGACATCAAGCGTGTGGACTGTGGAATTCTTCTTCATGGTGTTTGACTCTCCAGAGCAAGACAGATGTCCAGCATCCCTGGAACCACTCACTTAGTGCCAGTGGGACCCCCCAATCACTGTGACAACCAGAAGCCCCCCACAGATTCCATATGCCCTGTAGAGAACCAGAGCCCCCCTACTGACCCGAGGGCCTATGTGCGGCTGACAGGTGCTCACGTCTGCCCCAGCCTCACCCAGCACCCAGGGGCAGGTGCTCAGTAGCTGTTCACTAAAGTCAACTCAACTCAGCTCAGAAGTGATAGCGGAGAACCAGGTTTGTTCAGGTGCTCCTGCAGGCCTCGGGGGACACATGTGTGTTATCTTTCCCTCCAGAAAACTCTCGATGACCTGCAAGCTGAGGAGGACAAGGTCAACCACCTGACCAAGAGCAACAGCAAGCTCAACACTCAGATCCACGAGGTAATGCCCTGTGGCTAGGCCAATTCTACAGCTTGAGGGCCGGGTCCTCCGATGAATTTGGGAAATTGGACTGACATATCCCCTGGGGAAGTAAGATGCCAAAGCTAAGGAACCAGGCCCAACCTGGTTCCCCCCCCCTTTTTTTTTGAAAATTTAATGGGGAAACGTGTTTTTTTCCAGGAACCCACCACTCCCAATCCAGTTATTGTCTTCAAACCAGGTTTTGAAGGCCTATCCTCCCCGCCCATTGGGGAAACCAAACGGCCAACTTTGGGTTAACAGGCCTGGGTTTAACCAACCGGAGTAAAAGCCTTCCTCAAGCTGGGCTCCTACTGCATTGCGGCCTGAGACGACGCCCTCCTCTCCTTTCTCTTGCTCTTCTTGTCTGTGCAGCTGGAGGATAACTGGGAACAGGAAAAGAAAATCCGGGCAGAGGTAGAAAAGGCTCGTCGGAAAGCTGAGAGTGACTTGAAGATGACCATTGACAATCTCAACGAGATGGAGCGATCCAAGCTAGATCTCGAGGAAGTGGTGAAAAAGTATGCCCGTGCAGTCCTTCATTTCTTCCGTAACAATGTTAGCAATACCTAGCACTTCCTGAATGGTGCCAGGCACTGGGCACTGTGCTGAGGGCTTCATATATATTATCACCTGTCCCTAGTACCCACTATGTGCCAGGCACTGCACCCAGCATGGAAGATATAGGGAGGAAGGAGGAGGTGCTGCCCTGTCCGCAGGGAGCTCCCAGCCTCACACAAGTCCTGCTGGATAATGAGAAGGAGACGGGTACTAAGCAATGCTTTCACCTGGAGGGCAGAAAGTTCATAGAAACCTATAACCTGGGACCTCAAAGATCACAAGGGTTTGTGGGGGTATTTTGTCACTATCACTCTGGCAATAACGTAGAGGAAAGGTGGAGTGGAGAAAAATTAGAAGCAAGAAGTCCATAGGAATGCTACTGCAATGGTCCAGGCATAAATCTGAACTAAGTAAGAGGCAGAGTGGATGGAGATAAGGAGTTAGAGAAGGAAATGCTATTAAGGAGTAGAATTTAGACGGTGCATCCATGAAGCATATTTTGCTAAGGCAGTTTTGAAGCACCACAGGCTGCTATGAGGGGCGTATGTGACAAAGTCTGCGTCTCAGCACGTTTCTTCTGTGGCACACAGAAGGCGCATGTGACCTTGCCCATCCCCCCATCAGCTTGGTCTCTGGCAACTTAGTTCTCACACATGGAACTCACACATCAGAAAGAGACAGCCTTTTGTGATAAGTTTTTGGAGGAAAATTTTCCCTAAAAAGGCAAAGCATCAATTCTGGAGCCTCTAGAATGTAAGCTGCATTAGAGCAGTGATTATTGTCTGGAACCTCAAACAATGTCTGGCACATAGGAGGTACTCAAAAAACGTGTCAAATTAATAAATGCATGAGTTAATGAATGCGTGAAAGAATAAGTGAATGACAAGCCCGTGGAGCAGATGCTGGGGCTCTCTAGAGTGAGAACTTCTAGGCTGTTACACCCAAAGGGCAGAGGTTAGGGAGCAAGTGGGTTTCAGCAGTTTCAAGGCCCCCTCCAGTAGCCCAGGCTCCATGGCCTGGCCAGCTTGCTGGTCCACCCTCAGTTTTTCCTCTGGAGAGCAAACCTTCTCTTGCAGGAGAGATATGGAAATCAATTCTGTCAACTCTAAATATGAGGATGAGCAGTCTTTGAATTCCACTCTGCAGCGGAAACTAAAGGAACACCAGGTATGTCCAGGACCGAGAAGGTTGAACTCACCTTTTGGGAGGCACTTTCCAGCGCCCTTTACTCACATCAGCTGATTGGCTGCTCAGCTTTCCTGAGGAGCCAGACTGACACAGAGTCCTTGGAGGCTGACCCCTGTTCACCTCACTCAGGGTTAAATTCAAAGTCCTGATAATAGTCACAAGGCCCTCTACAATCTGGGCCCTGCTCCCTCCCTGACCTCATCACCCATGCTGTCTGGCCATGCTGGCTCCTTGCGGGTCTCACGTACCCCATCCTCCCTTCTGCCTCAGGGCCATTGCACATACCTTGTACCCTGCTTCCCTCTGCTTTTGACAGTGTCCATCATATGCCTAGCTCCCTTCTATCATTTCCATTCTAAAAAGCCAAGTGGTTCAGTTTCTAACTTCACACAGGAGAGATAATTCCCCCACTCCTTTCATCTGCTTATTTGTCTCTAGGCCCGAATCGAGGAGCTGGAGGAAGAACTAGAAGCTGAGAGGGCAATGAGAGCCAAGGTAAATGATATACTTCTACCTTTCTTGAGTCAAAGGACTAATGCCAGCTACAATCCAACCATCGGCAGAAACTCCCACTCAGGAAACCAACAGAGAGGAGGGCAAGACATTGTTACAGATGAAACGAATGACTACACAGGCATATTTTTTCACCACCTCTTCGTTTTTTTCTTGACCACCTACTGTGTGCCAGGCACTGTGCTACACGAGCACATTAATGATGATGTAAGACGCAAATATGCTGCTTGTGGAGTCCAAGGAGAGGAGGCTAGTCCTGCCTGAGGCAGGTGGGAGAGGAATCATTGGCCTGGGGACTCGAAAATTGAATTCAACAGACTGAGCAGGGAGGAATTTCTAAGTAGAGGGAATGAAATAGTACCTACCTGCACAGGGACAAAGGTGTAAAAGAAAGAGCAAAGAGTGGAGGGAGGGTTGAAGGCAGGGGTCTTACAGGGAATGAGGCCAGAAAACTTGTAGGAAGTAGAAAATGGATCATACGACACCTAAATTCCAGATTCAGCGAAACTGGGCTCAAAGGTACATGGACACTAAGGCCCACCCAGCACAGGAAGAAGAACAATAGACGGTGTCCTTCACTGAGTATGTGGGGTGGCAGGAAGGGTACAGAGCTCCCCAAATTCAGGCCTCTGGCCTCACAGGCACCATGCACAAAGAGGGGCTCATGGGTGGCTTCAGTCAGTGTCATTCAATCTCATTCCAGGTGGAGAAACAACGCAGCGACCTGTCCCGGGACCTCGAAGATCTCAGTGACAGGCTGGAAGAGGCTGGGGGAGCCACGTCTGCTCAGGTACTACCTTTGGGGGGCCCCAATTCCTACCTTCCTGCAGGGAGAAATAAAATGTTGGTCAATGAACTGTGGGCTAAAGGCCAGTTTATTTTTGCTGAATTCCTTGGTTAGCTTGAGAAGAAACCTATTAGTAATAAAGAGTAGGTGGGAGAAGGGTTGGTTCGGTCCACTTCCTTCTGGGGCTCCTTAGTTCAGTGGCACTGATGGAAGCAGGATTTGGATTGAATGCAGAGGGCAGGTGTTCTAAAAATACAGTGCATTAATAGAAATTTTGAGGTACAGTAAGGCCAGCAGGTCAAGAGAGGATTGCCATTGGAGAGCTACAGTTGACCCTAAGAACACGGGTTGGAATTGCATGGGTTCACATATATGTGAACTTTTTTCAATTGACCACAGTTAAATTGACCCTGCACAGTTCAAACCTGCATTATTCAAGGGTCAACTGTATGTTACAGTTCCCAGGAGGAGGGGGCATGCCAAGCAGGGCCACACAGGGAAGCACCAGGGTCAGACAGGAGGCAGAGGGAAGGGGGATTGTGGGCAAGATACTTTATTGTGGTTTCTGAGGAAGGAAGAAGTGAGGCGGGGAGCAGGCCCAAGATTGGCTGGTTTGGATAATTTCAGAGGGCTCTGGGGCATAGGGGCTGTCCCTAGTTGTCTGGTACCTGGCCCTGGGTGATTAGGGCAGGTGGATAGTGGCTGAGAGTAAGAGAGATAGATTGGTTGTTTTGCATTTGAAATCCAGTTGTTCACTATCTCTAGGAATTAGCTGACCCTGGGAGGGGCCACCCTTTCAGGATCAATAAAACCCCAGATATCAAAGCACCAGGATACAGAAAATAAAGACAAGGTCAATACAGTGGGGTGACCCCACACTCCAAGAGCGCCCCACTGAGAGGCGAGTGGTGGCTGGAATCTGAATGCATCTTCTTCTAATTCACATAATAGCATCATGGAGGCCAGTAGAAGCTACATGAAACTCCCCTTCTAATTCCATGTGTAAGCTCTCTTGCAAATGCAGACTCTCAGTTAGAGCAGAGAGCAGGAACACGCATGGGGTACCTTATCATTTGAAGGCTAAGCATCCTTTCCTGTGGCACCGTAGACTCCATGTCCGACTTCCTCACCATCCTGGCCCACAGTCTGCAACTTGGCGAGGAGGGGGTGGGGGGTTGTTGCCCAGAAATGAAGCTGGTGCCCAGCTGTGGTCAGATCCTGGAAGGAAACAAAATCATCCTGGATGGTTTGAATGAGGGGCATTAACAAATGGACTATGTCTAGCAGTACAGGGACAGTTAAGAGAACAATAGGGGGCCGTGACAGCAGGAGCCATGGAAAAGGGGCTGCCTGGTAGGTTCCTTCTGGAGGTTCTGAGGGAGAATCTGCTCTAGGCCCTCTCCCAGCTTCTGGTGGCAATCTTTGCTGTTCCTTGCTTTTAGCTGCATCACTCCAGTCTCTGCCTCTGTGGTCACATGGCCTTCTTTTTGTGTGTCTCTCCGGGTCCAAATTTCCCTCTTTTTATCAAGATAACCAGTCATCAGATTAGGGCCCACCCTAATCCAGTATGACATTTTAACTTGTTTATATCTGCAAAGATCCTATTCCCAAATATGGCCCCATGCACAGATATCAGGGTTAAGATTTGAACATATATTTTGGGGGGCATAACTCAACATACAACACTATCTAAATAAATCCTATGGGCAACCCATCTGCACACACACAGGCTTAGGGTTGATATTTCAATCAGGACATCTCATTAGTGGGATATAGGAATATCCGGGGACCGTTGAGCAGGTGGGCAGTGTCCACCCCAAAGAGGCCAGCTCCAGTCAGTCCTGCTAAGCCCTGCTTCTCCTCTACCCCAGATTGAGCAGAACCGTAAACGGGAGGCTGAGCTCCTGAAGCTGCGGCGGGAGCTGGAGGAGGCGGCCCTGCAGAGCGAGGCAACAGCCTCCACGCTGCGCAAGAAGCACACGGACTCAATGGCTGAGCTGACGGAGCACGTGGAGAACCTGCAGAGGGTCAAGTCCAAGCTGGAGAAGGACAAGCAGGTCATGAAGGTCGAGATTGATGACCTCAATGCCAGTGTGGAGACTATACAGAAGTCCAAGGTGAGGGAGGCCCATCCACAGTCACGGGGAGGTGCCCCGGCACCGGCTCCTGCACAAATATTCCCTGAGCCCCCAGCAGGCCTGAGGCATATTCTAGATGTTGTGAAGGGAGCCGAGGTGGACCCATCACAGACTCCACTGGCTGTGTATATAACATTGGCCAAGTTACATAACCTAACTGTGCCTCAGTTTCCTCATTTGTAAAATGGGGAGAATAATAATCCCTACCTCACAGTGCTGTTGTGAAGACTACAAACATCCCTGGCACATAAACTCAATAAATACAGACATTGCCACAGGGAGAAGGTATTATATGGCAAAAAACAAAAGTAAGCCATTCAACATGCATTGATTGAGCACTTGCCACATGAAGGGCCTTTTTGTGACATGAGGGAAGGGGGGACTTCCAAGGTGAGCAGGGATGATGCCTCAGGGGCCCCTGTCCAGCCAACTCGTGTCTCCAAACTTCAGACACTCATGAGACATCTTCATAGTTGTTTTATCTGCAGTATTTTTCCTTAAATTGTCCCACTTGCGTTTTCTTATTGGATGAGGTCTGCAGGGGTCCAGAGTAGCTATGAAAGGGAGATGGGCCAGAGTGAGGGGCTGTGCCAACCCAAAGGCTCCGGCTTTATGTTGAGCCATTGGGGGTTTCTGAGACAGGGACATTTTAGAAGAACTAGAGGGGATAGCCTGGGAGGCTGCACTAGGGGAACCCAGGTGGAAAGCAGGAGGGCCTGGCCTGGGCCTCCCCATTTCCTCCCTGGGTACTTTCTCCCTGAGCAGATGAATGCTGAAGCCCACGTCCGAAAGCTGGAAGATAACCTAGCAGAAGCCAACGCCAAGGTGGCTGAGCTGGAACGAAACCAGGCAGAAATCAACGCCATCAGGACCCGCCTCCAAGGTGAGCTCATGCCTCGCTGCAGCTTCCTAAGGAACAGTGCGTAAGACAGAACTGGTATCTGCAAGGAAACTGAGGGGTGCCTGGATCCTCTCCCCAGGGATTTGTTGGTCTTGGAAAATTCACATCCCGGTGATGGGACAAGGGGGTTTTATCTCACCCGCTGAGTGTTCCAAGTGCATCTTTACAGTGTAAAACAGGGAACACTCTTCAAAGCATTTTTACATCAGTTCTCTCAGCCACCCTGTGAGATCAGTGGGAGGGATGGTCATACTAACAAAACACAATTATCAAACATTTTCAAACATGATCTGCATATTAGCATAAAGTAAACATGTGTCACTAATGAGGGAACCAGAAAAATGGTCACACTGCCATTGAAGCGCATGAGGGGCTGAGATTTGCATAGTCAGCGGGGAAAGAAATGCTTAAGTATCTTTGCTAAGTTGGATGCAAAATGTTAATGTCCTACAGGACAATAATACTGCAACCTCTGGGTCTGGTTTGGTTTGGTTTCTACCAGAAGAACCCCTGTGTATCTCTAGGCCAAAAATAATTTGCAACTTATCACTAAACAAGTTAACACCTAACTTGGCCGAGTCTGGGCTAACCTGGTAAACAATAAGTCGAACAAAGGTTCATTCCCTGAGAAAAGTTAACACTCCTTAGACAATTAGACAAGGCTCCAGTGTGACACCAGAGAACCTGCAAGCATCCTTTGGCCTTAGTTCCCACATCCTGAATACTTTAAAAAATCAATATCCCTATTTGACGGATGAGACAAGTGAAGCTTGTCAGTGACAAAACCAATGATTTACAGAGCAGACCTGGAAACTCTGATCTTCGTCTCTGGCTCATGCACCTCTTTCTGGCCTCTGACCCAGGCAGTCAGTCCACAAATGACAGGAGTGTAGGTTCTGGGACTGTCACAAGTACAGTTTACAAAGTAAACACTCTACCCAAACTCCTTTCTCCAAACTCCTTTGCTGTATCTCCTGCCAGGATCAGGGCTTCATTATCTGAATGAAGACCCTTACCCCATGTCAGTCACCTGGGTGTTGACAACCATTGGGCACTTGCTCCCCTCCTGGGCTAGCTTAATTTGGGTGGCTGGTGTGGTATCGCAGTGCTCCCCATTCCAGTTCAGTCAGCCAGGTCGCCATATTTACTGGGTACTTTGGGAGCAATGCCCTGGGGGAGCTTAGAATCGGGCTGGTGGACCAGTTCTTCATCCAGTACTTCTCTCACTCCTTCTCACTCAGCTGAAAATAGTGAACTGAGCCGGGAATATGAAGAATCCCAGAGCCGGCTCAATCAAATCCTGCGGATAAAGACATCACTGACGTCGCAGGTGGATGATTACAAGAGACAACTGGATGAAGAATCCAAGGTTTGTTTAGGGATGGAATGGGGGTGACAGAGCTGCCTCCTTGAAGAAAGTTAGAGGTTATGAAGATGTAGAAGGAACATGAAAAATATTTGATTCACTACTAAAAGTTAACTGCAAAACTGTAGTATGCTGGAGAGGATCCAAGATGGCAGAGTAGATAAACACTGTGCTTGCCTCCTTCTGAGACCATATTACAATTACAACTAAATTATAGAACGATCAACCTGGAGAACCATCTGAAGTCTAGCCGAACAGAAGTTTTATAACTAAGGTTATAAAGTAGAATCCACATTGAGACTGTGGTTTGTGATTATGTGAGAAAAAAAACAACAACAACTGTAACATGCTATATGTATAACTAAGTGAAATTGCATATCTTTGTGGACAGTAATTGGAAGAAAACAAGGAAAATAAACCATGATGGTTAGGGTTATAGGATTGTGTGTGTGTTTTCCCCTTTACTTACTGCATTGTTGATCAAACATTACATATAATCTAAGTGCTGGTGGTGGGGACTATGGAGAGACCGGGGGGCCTCTGACAGGCTCTGTGATCCCCAGTCTCGCAGCATAGCCGTGGTGAGTCTTGCCAACACCAAGCACGACCTAGACCTAGTGAAGGAGCAGCTGGAGGAGGAGCAGGGAGGCAAGTCGGAGCTGCAGCGCCTCGTATCCAAACTCAACACTGAGGTGACCACCTGGAGGACCAAGTATGAGACTGATGCCATCCAGAGGACTGAGGAGTTGGAGGAGACCAAGTGAGTTCACCCTGTGCCAGGAGAGCAGGAAAGGCCAAGCGAGTGGGTGGGCACTGGGGGGTCTCGCTACTATCAGCCACGAGGCTAGGGCCATGCCCGGGAGAAGGCAGCTCACAGGCTCCTCGTAAAGAAGGGATGAGTATCTGGACAGGGGAGCCCACTGCCTACACTGCCAGCCTTCAGGTTCCATCTTCAAGGGCTCTCTTACCTACATCCTTAGCCTTAAAGTTCTCAGGCTCAGGCAGGGAAGTCAGGGGTCGGGGGTTCTCCTCTGGGCAGGGCTTCTGTGCCTCCAAAGTGTTCAGGAAGCCCCCACAGGCCTGGTGGGTCTGGAGTAGGGCCTCTTGGGGATGCTGGGACTACACAGACCACACTCAGTGGCAAAGGTCTCCATTCTGCGTTTCCCCAGCTCTGTGGTCAGTGTCAAGTCCTTTGAGCTTTCTTCCTCATTCACAAATTAGAGAAGTGGACACTCTGTTGTACGGGCCTGAAGAAATAAGAGTGGACACATGAATGTGGCTCTGAGCTGCCCTCTTACATAAGAAAAGGCTTCTTGGGTACCCCTGGGCCCACACACCCAAGGAAGCCCTGCATGTGAGCCACCCTATGCCAGGCAGGGAGGGGACCACAGCCTGCTTGCTGTGCCTTCTCCCCACTGGAATTTGTGGTGATGGATAGCAAAAAGCACAGTGCCTCCTAGCTGTCACAAGTCTTTTATCTAAAGCTCTTCTTCCATTGAGCCTGAATCTGCCTTCCTATAGCTCCCGCCTCCTGCCCTCCAGCCCTTTTCTATTTTCTACTGACTGCTGCCTGCCCGCCTGCTCCCACACAAAGGCTCTCTCACTCCCAGGCTAAACCTAAATCCCAATCCCTCACTCCCTCTGCCTGGAACCTCTTCCCCAGACACCTACTGGGGGCCCTTGCCCTCCCCTCCCTCAGGCCTTTGCTCCCCCTCCCTGCTTTATTCTCTCTATAGTGTTTATGCCATGTTGTTGTGTATTGTCTGTCCCCCCAACCCCCCGCCACAAAACAGAACTTTTATGGGAGCAGCACTCTTGGTCTGTTTTATTCACTGCTATTTCCCTAATGCCTACAACAATATTTGGCACAGAATAGAAACAATAATTTATTGAATAAATGAATGAAGGAATGAAGGAATGAAGGAATGGATGGATGGATGGACAGTAGTTGCTTCCTCTAAACACGCTCCACTTTTAACCTTTTCCACCGTGACACCAAGCTCAATGCCACACCCCCGGCACCCCTGCCCGTGGGCTCCTATGTTTCCTTGATGGGCCATCTTACCTTTATCCACAGGAGAAAACTAGCTGCCAGGCTCCAGGAAGCAGAAGAGGCAGCTGAAGCTGCCCAGGCCCGGGCCGCCTCCCTCGAGAAAAATAAACAGAGACTCCAGGCAGAAGTTGAGGACCTCACCATAGACTTGGAGAAGGTCAGAGGGTCAAATGCCAGGTCCAAGGGCCCACAAAGAGCTGGGTGAGACTATCAAATGTCTGGGGTGAGCAGGAGGAAACAGTAGCCCTTGAGGATGGTTTGTACACAGGCCCACTGGACACAGGCTCCTGCCTGAATATGTTTATATGTGCTCATAATTCTGAGATCTAAACACTCAAAAAGCCACCATTTAAAGAGGTCTGTGACAAGAATAAAATTAGTCCCAGGAAGTCAATGTATTATCTCTTTCCCTTTTGTCTTTCATAAACCATGTCCCACACACTTTGTGTGGCTAAATATTCCTATTTGAATCCCTGGTTCAGACAGATTTCCTAGTCTCCAGTCAAATTACATAAGATTTCCACTGGCACACACCAACCTGGTCTTGGCCTAGAAGGAATCATTGCTTCATGCCAGCTGTGAGGGTCACACAGGCAAAAGGCCACATCAATGGGAGAGGTTGAGGTTTCAAAGAAAAAAAATCCTAAAACACTAAAAGGTTTTGTTCCTATTAAGTTAAGAAATTTACAAAATCTAATATTGCAGAGCAGCAAATACATAGTTGCCGGAAAGCTATGAAAAAGATGAAAGGTCTATGAAAAACTAATGTCTAAGAATAACCTACTTTGATCCACAAGAAAAATAATACCAAACCCATGTCTGAGTTGGACAATGATGTATAATGTGTGTTATTAATAGTACATTATAGAGAAATACGTTATGGGGAGTTACGCAAATGTCATAAATCTAGGAAGGATGTTGTGGCCCAGATTCCTCCTTTTACACCTGAGAAAATTCTAGGCTAGGAAGACAAGATGGACTGCACAAGGTCGCACATCTAGTAGCCAAAGTTTTAGAACTGGAATGTAGATCTCTCCTCGCTTCCTATTCTGTGCTTGTGCCATAAATGTTTAATTATATCTCAATTCCGAAGAAGTCTGTGGTCGCCAGAGTCACCGCATTGGAGATGAAAGGAGGGAAGGGGGTCAGAAGGCCGGGAAAGGGGCAAGAAAGTCGGATGCCCTGAAACCACCCCCACCTCTCCCTAGGCCAATGCTGCAGCTGCTGCCCTGGACAAGAAGCAGCGGCTCTTTGACAAGATGCTGGCTGAGTGGCAGCAGAAGTGCGAGGAACTACAGGTGGAGGTGGACAGCTCGCAGAAGGAGTGCCGCATGTACATGACAGAGAGCTTCAAGATCAAGACCGCCTACGAGGAGTCCCTGGAGCACCTTGAGTCAGTGAAGAAGGAGAACAAGACCCTGCAGGGTGAGCCTGAGGGCAGGCAGGTGGGCCTGCGGGGACAAAGACACAGCTAGGGCTCCCTTCCTCCTGGGTACATCATGGGTTTGAGCACCTGGCACACAGTAGGTGCACAATAAATATTTGTTGACCAGTTGGCAAGCGCTTTATAGAAGCACTTGAGCACTCAGCAACATAACTTCTGGCAGGTGAGTTATTTAAACTTCCTGTGCCTCAGTTTCCTCATCTGTAAGATAGGGAAATAATACTGCCTTCCTTGTAAGGTTGTTGTGTCAATGGAATAAGATAAAATGTCAAGTCTTCACTTAGTAAAATAGGGACTTGATATATAAGGGCTCAGTAGATTTTACTTGAGCACTTACATCTGTCATATGTAAATAATATGCATATGCATATATATTTCTCATGTATAGAGGCCTCGGGCTGGAATTTGCAACCTGGAGGGCAGGACAGGGCGTGTGTCTCTGAGAAAGGAAGGCCTCGCATGTAGACCCTAGACCCGACGGGCCCGGGGAGCCTGGGCCCTGGCCCTAAAGCCGCTCTGTGCTTTCTCCCTCTTCTCTGGGCCTCGGCCTCTCATTTATAAAAAGAGGAGCTCGTCTATAAAAAAGTCTGAGCCCTGATGCTCCCTCCACGAGTCTACCTACGACTTGGAGTATATTGCTTCTCTTCTGATACAGTGAGGCTCCAAGTGCCTGCGTCTGGCCGCGATGGAGGAATGTCGGTGTCACATGCCATGACCCTGGATAGCTGGTAGTCCTCATGTGCCTCATTAACGAGAATATTTTTCCCTCAGAGGAGATAAAGGAACTGATTGATCAGCTGGGCGAGGGAGGACGGAGTGTGCACGAGCTGCAGAAGTTGAAGAAAAAATTGGAGATTGAGAAGGAGGAACTCCAGGTGGCCCTGGAAGAAGCTGAGTCTTCCCTGGAGGTAACCTCGTGGCGGTCTCCTTGGGGGCTGAATCCTTTGGTCAGGGACCACAAACCTGCTTGGCCAGAAAGACTGATGTTCACATTTCTGGCAGGTTGAAGAGAGCAAGGTGATTCGAATTCAGCTGGAACTGGCTCAGGTTAAAGCTGACATCGACCGGAGAATTCACGAGAAAGAAGAGGAATTTGAAGCTACAAGGTATGGATGAGGCTGACAGGCTGGGAGACTGAATTTGCCCGCATGATGGAGCAGAAGCCAGAAACCTGGGTCTCTGCCACCTACTAGTCATGTGACCTTGGGAAATTTAGGTGAACCTCTCTGAACCTCAGTTTCCCCATCTGTTAAATGGTAATATGACAGTACCTTATACTGATGGGGTACTCTCTGGTTTAGAAACACTGTGAAATGTAGTACATTAGTGATTCATCACAAAAATAACCCAAAAATGGGCAAAGGACTTGAATAGACATTTCTCCAACAAGTGTAAAATGGTACAGCTGCTATGAAAAACAGTATGGCACTTCCTCAAAAAATTTAAAATAGAATTATATGATCTAGAAATTCCACTTCTAGATATATACCTAAAAGAATTTAAAGCAGGGTCTCAAATGGATATTTGTATACCTATGTTCATAGCAGCATTATTCATAATAGCTAAAACGTGGAAGCAACACAATGGCCATTGACAAATGAATGGACAAACAAAATATCATATATACATACAAAGGAATATTATTTAATCTTAAAAAGGAAGGAAATTCTGACCTATGATACAACATAGATAAACCCTGATGACATTATGCTAAGTGAAACAAGCCAGTTATAAAAATGACAAATATTGTATGATGCCACTTATATGAAGTACTTAGAGTAGTCAAAACATAGAGACAGAAAGTAGAATGTAGGTTGTCAGGGGCTGGGAGGAGGGAGAAAATGGGGCAGTTATTATTTAATGGGTGCAGAGTTTCAGTTTTACAAGATGAAAAGAGTTCTGGAGATGGATGGTGATGATGGTGGCACAGCATTATATTTAATACCACTGAACTATACAGTTAAAAATAGTTAAGATAGTACATTTTCTATTATGCATATTTTGCCACAATAAAAAAAAAGGGGGGGAAAAACCACCTGTGAGATAGATGCAATTATCCCACCTAACAGATGAGAATGATGACAACTTCCTCATCACCTCTCAGGGATGTGGTAAAGATTTAATGAAATTATAGATAAGTACATTGGGAGGAGACGCCTGATGACTCTACAGCCAACAGGCTAAACCTGACCCTCACCCCAAATTTCTATGTGGCGTGTGTGTGCGAGCGCACAACACCTTTATTAAGATGTAATTTACATATCATATAATTTTCCCACGTAAAGAAAAAAATTCAATGGTTTTCAGTTGTACAACCATCACTAACTACAATTTTAGAACATTTTCATCACCTCCCAAGAGACCCCATATCCTTTAGCAGTCATGCCCCATTTCTCCTCACCACCACCTCCAGCCCTAGGCAACAACTAATCTACTTTCTTGTTTCTTTGGATTTGCCTATTCTGGGCATTTCAAATAAATGGAATCTTACAATATGTGGTCCTATGTAACTGTACTGCATTGAATCTCACCTTAACAATATCGTCTCCTGATCCACAAATATGAATGAATGTCTTTCCATTTTCTTAGACCTTAATTTTTTTCAACATGTTTTATAGTTTTTGCTTGTATCTATTTTTAAGTCAAAGTGAATCTGGTTTTGCTCACTTTTGAGAATGTCCATATCTGGAAACTGAATACATCTCAAGTTGCTGCAAACCCAGCAATGTGTCTGCACATAATGGGTGTTCAGGGGTGAAGCAGAGGTGAGCGCAGTGTGGAGCAGGTGACAGGATCTTTACATGCTAATCATTAATTTGCTTCAATGAAACAAATGTTTTTTGAACATCTAAATTACCTCCTCTGGTCCCCTCCTAGAAAATAAAATTAATACAGCTTATATGAGGGCTTTATGGAAATGTTTATTATGTTAATTACCATATAAGTAATATATTGGGTTGTTGGAAAAGTCATACGTATTTTTCTATGTTTTTAGTTGCAAAAATGCGTCATGACTTTTCCGACAGCCCAATATATTAAATGTAATCAATTAATGACTGTTGTTTTGAAGAGAGATATATATCTAACTTGTATAGCCAAAACCCACATTTTGTAATGAAAAAAACGGGGACCTCAGCATCTGGGTTTGAATCTTAACCCCATTCTTTGGCATGTTTTTTCATCATCATGGAGCCTCAGTTTCCTTGCAGAGCTGTTTTGTATGTAAAATAAATTGAGATCATGTGCTAAACATTAACCTTCTATCCCTTTTCCCAAAGCATGATATTCTCTCCCTTAAATACTTTAAGGGAAGATAGTTTAATTTCACAATATGGCCATACCCATGTTGGTGCTCAGAGATCTCTTATCTAGGAAGGCTTAGCACAGACTGAACAGTGGGTCCAGTATGCCAAGGCCCTCTCTGCTTGGACTTGCAGGAAGAACCACCAGCGGGCAATCGAGTCCTTGCAGGCCAGCCTGGAGGCAGAGACCAAGGGTCGGGCAGAGGCACTTCGGCTCAAGAAGAAGATGGAGACTGACCTGAATGAGATGGAAATCCAGCTGGACCATGCCAACAGGAACAACAGCGAACTTGTGAAGACACTGAAAAGGCTGCAACAGCAAATCAAGGTAACGATCTCGAAGGAGGAAGAACTAATCACAAAGCAAGCCAACCCGAGCCTGCAGATTACAGGGAGCTAACTTCATGCATGTCTTCAGGTAGGATAAAGGCATGAGAGTGAGAACGTGGGGTGGCTAGCAGTGCAGAGGGCAGGAGACCTGAAGACTGCATAAATCAGAGGGCCCAACCACCAAAGTCCATATCCTGGGCCACTGGAATAAGGGAAGAAAGGAGGGAAACAGGAAGTTGGGCCCGTCCTGATTTTTAAAGTCATTTTTTACTTACAATAAATGATTTCAGACATAGAAAAATAAAGACTATAAACACCCATGGGCCGGCCGAGTGGCTCAGTTGGTTAAGAGCTTGCTCAAGAGTTTGAGCTCTGAGCAACAGTGGTTCGATTCCCGGCCCGAGCTGAGTTGCCGCTGAGCTGCCAACAGGTGGCAGGATGACTCAGCTAAAAACAAAGAATATAAATACCCATGTACCCACCACTGATTCACCTTAAGAAATAAACACGAATAGAGCTGAAGTCCTCCTTTATCGCTCTTTAGCATCAGACTGGTCTTCAAAGCACGCATAGCTGGATCGATGCATTCAACATGTGTTTATTGGAAGCCTGTTCTGTCCAGGCACTATATTAGGGCTAGGGGTAAGAGAATGGACAAAACAACAAACATCTCTGCAGATAGACAATAAGCAACAAATACATAAAAAAACTGTAGTATGAAAAATGGGAAGTGCTCTGGAGAAATCACAAGACGGGAAGGGAGACGGGGATTAGCCAGTGAGGGTGAAACTGCCAAAGGTCATTGAGGAAGGCCTCCTTGAGATGGCCCTGCTGTAAACACCAGATGCTCCGTCATCAGGAAAATCTTGACATCATGTTGACTACCCGCTAGACAAAACCTGGGTCATGGCCCAGCGAGACCTCAACCAGACTGTAAACTCCCCAAGGAGCAGGCCTACACCTCATTCTCTCTTCTGTGGCCTCCACTTCCCGGCTCCCACCCCTGCTCCCTCCTGAGCCCAGTCTACGAAGGTCACAGCACCCTCAGGCCTGGCCAGCCCCAGGCTGTGCCAGGGCCTGTGAAATGGGCTCAGGTCGTGTCCTCTTGCCCCGCAGGACTTGCAGGTCCAGATGGATGAGGATGCCAGGCAGCATGAGGAGCTGCGGGAGCAGTACAACCTGCAGGAGCGGCGCCTGAGCCTGTTGCAGACGGAGCTGGAGGAGGTGCGCTCGGCCCTGGAGGGCAGCGAGCGCTCCCGCAAGCTGCTGGAACAGGAAGTGGTGGAGATCACAGAACGGCACAACGAGGTCAACGTTCAGGTAAGATGGCGGCTCCCTGGGAAGTGCCATGTGGATTCACACTCAGGATGGTGCCCAAACCTTGTGGGCTCTCCTTAAAACTAAGAGGCAGCTGGTGTCCCCACTTGTCAAGTCCTCAGAACTCATCTGCAGAGCTTTTATGTTGTGGTGGTAAAAAACCCATAACATAAAATGTACCATCTTAGCCATTTTTCATACACAGCACAGTGTGTTAACTACATGCAGAGCTTTTAAAAACAGACTCTCAGACTCTCCCCTGGAGATTCTCATCCAGTGGATCTAGGGTGGGACCCCAGAAATCTAAACTTTTAGAAACTCCTCAGAAGATTCTGATGATTTAGCCAATTTTAAGGGCCACCAGTGTTGCTGAGGCAAGAACTTTAGAACTGGAAGGGATCTGAAATATTCCAAAGTCTGACCTTCATTTTACAAAAGAAAAACCATGGCCCAGAGAGTTGAGCAGCTTATCCATGGTCAACACTGGGGACCCCTGTCTACTACTAGTGGTAGCACCAGTACTGCTTACGGTTCACAGTGCAGTCTTTCACCAGCATGGCTTAATCCTTACTCACCATCTCATGTGAATTCACCAGAAGAAAAAATGTGCATGGGACATATAGGGATTGCAATCCCATTTAGAGAGAAGACCAACGCCTAGACAGTAAGGAATTTATCCATGTAGGTGGAAGTACCCAACCTTGAATCTGGGTTTTCCCAGGTCTAAGTTCAGGGTTGTTCTAGAGATGCCATCCTCCCCAGGCCTAAATCATGTTATTCCTGGGCTCCTCATGATGCAAAAAAAACCCTGCTCTAAAACCCAGAGGAGACTACAAGGGAGAGACCCTCACCCCGAGCAGGAGCTCACAGCCATTTCCTGCTGTGGGGGGTGGGGGGGGTCTGGCAAGCATGTGTGGGAGAGGATCATTTTCTTTCCTGGACACAGAAGGGCTGTGCAGACTCCTGGCTTACAGCGATGTCCTCATTTCTTCCTCCAGAACCAAAGCCTCCTAGTGGTCAAGCGCAAGCTGGAGTCGGATGTCCAGCGCATCTCCAACGAGCATGAAGAGCTCATCAGTGAGTTCCGCTCGGCTGACGAGAGGGCCAAGAAAGCCATGACTGACGTAAGTGCTGCATTGCCTTCTGCTGCTGGGGGGGGGGGCGTGGGCACCCCAGGCCAGGCTACCTGCTGAGGACCAGGATACCCCATGCAGGAAAGACCATCCTCTCCCCTCATGAGTCACTATGGAGTCCCCGGCACCCTGCCAGTGGGGATATGGTCTCTGCTCTGAGGAGTCTAGAAGCTTTTCTGAAAAGCCAAACACATGAAAGTAAGGAATACACATGATCATGTGAGAGATTAGAGCATGCGACCTGAGGACATAAAGCAAAGGAGCCATTGATGTGGGCTCACCTGAGCAGAGTTTTTGGCAAAGAGCATCAAACCAGCCTTGATGGGAGGGTTCATGAAAGGATGATGGGTGCTGTGCCCAGGGGCTCAGGGCTGGATGTTGGCAAGATGTGCCACCAAGTGTTTTCACCCCATTATCCCTTTGGGTGCTCACACCGACCTTGAGTGGTAGATGTTATGTATCCCACTTTAGGGCTGAGGAAATACAGATTTTCTTGTCAGGCTCCTCACACTTCATTAAAATGGCAGGCACTCAGAGGAGCATCGTCGGTCTTATTGGTGCTATGTCCCAAAAGCATAGACTCACATGCTGCACACACAGTAGGCTTCCATAAATATTTGTGGAATGAATATAAGAATGAGTGGGTGAAAAAACCAGAGGCAACCAACTGAATGGCAGAAGATGTTTGCAAACAACACCTCCAATAAGGGACTAATATCCAAAATATGTAAAGAACTCCTACAATTCAACAAAAAACAAAACAAAAAAAACAATCCAATTAAAAATGGGCAGAAGACCTGAACAGACACTTCTCCCAAGAAGACATACAAATGGCCAATAGATTTATGAAAAAATGCTCAACTTCACTAGCTATTAGGAAAATGCAAGTCAAAACCACAATGAGATAACACCTCACACTTGTAAGAATGGCTACCATCAACAAGACAAATAATCACAAGTGTTGGAAAGACTGTGAAAAAAAGGAACCCTCATAAACTGTTGGTGAGAATGTAAATTGGTACAGCCACTACAGGAAATAATATGGAGGTTCCTCAAAAAATTAAGAATAGAATTACCATATGACCCAGCAATCCCTCTCCTGGGTATCTACCCCAAAAATCTGAAAATATTTATCCATAAAGATATATGTACCCCTATGTCATTGCAGCATTATTTATGGTGCCCAAGACATGAAAGCAACCAAAGTATCCTTCGATTGATGATTGGATAAAAAAGATGTGGTATATATACACAATGGAATATTACTGGGCCATAAGAAAAGATGTAAAACTGCCATTTGTGACAACATGGATGGATCTTGAGATTATTATGCTAAGCGAAATAAGTTAGACAGGAAAAGTTAAGAACCATATGACTTCACTCATATGTGGAATATAAAACTGAAAGCAACAAACAAAGAAACAAACACTCATTGACAAAGACAACAGTTTAGTGATTACCAGAGGGTGAGGGGGGAGTGGGATTGGTAGAAGAGGGAAAGGGGGTTCAAATATACCATGATAGAAAGAGAACTGACTCTGGGTGGTGAATACACAATGTGATATACAGATGATGTATTATAGAATTGTACACCTGAAACCTGTGTAGTTTTACTAACCAATGTCAACCCAATAAATTTAATTTTAAAAAAAGAGAAAAAAAGAATGAGTAGGTAAAACAACTTGCCGAAGGGCACACAGGAGGCAGAGCTTTGTCTTCCTGCCCAGATCTGTGCTTTTCCCACCCTCTGTGCTGTGCCCCTCTTAGAGGACACAGCACAGAGTTTGGCTGGAGAGCACCAGGCTGGCAGAGTCCACAGGATGGGGAGGACTGGTTGTGAGTACATGAGCCTGCCTTCTCCCATTTCACTCAAGTGACACGGGAACCTGGGACCCCCTCCCACCAAATCCCAGCAGCATGTCAGCAAGGTTTCTCTCGTCAACCACTTGGTTTCCCAGAGACTGGGAGACATGGTTCCTTGTCTCTCAAAGGCACCATGAGCCTGGATGAGACCCAGCTCCAGCGCATACTCTTCTCTCCTCCCACAGGCTGCCCGAATGGCAGAAGAACTCCGTCAAGAACAGGACCACTGCATGCACCTGGAGAAAATCAAGAAGAACTATGAGATCACCATTAAAGACTTGCAGGCCAAGATGGAGGAGGCAGAGCAGCTGGCTCTGAAAGGAGGGAAGCGCACGATCATGAAGCTGGAATCCAGGGTGAGGACAACACTGAGCTGAGCCAGGGGAGAGAAAAGGGAGCTATGACCAGGCCGAGGTGGGGGGGTCTTTTTCCAAAACTCATGTCCAGCAATTGATGAGGAATGGGGTTATTCAGTGCTAGGAAAGAAAAGGAAATTAGACAACAGCTCTAATTTACTTATACAAAGGCCTCCTCTCCCTGTCATCTTCCCTCCAGTATGTCCTTAGCCCCCATGCAGAGCAGTTAATCTTCTTCCTGTGTCTGTGTTCCTAGTCTTGGTTTCCAACATTATTCGTCTCTTATTACTTACTTAAAACAAGCCTTAGTCTTTTCCTCATGGAATGTCGAAGGGCCCAGGTCACCCTGTCTGACCCTTGCCTCTCCCATTTCCCAGAGAAGGAAACTTGAGGCTCAGGAAATGTGACCAGCTGACAACCACATCAGGGCCTGTGAAAGGCAGAGTCCGCCTGACCCTCCTGTGCAAACAACTGTAGCCATGACACCCATGCCCAAGCCCACTGAGCTCTGAAGTTCAAAAACATACATTCCCTTGGTTGCATTCTTCTCTCCCTTCCTCAGATCAAGGAACTGGAGACAGAGCTGGATGGCGAGCAGAAACAGCATGTGGAGACAGTCAAGACGCTGAGGAAGAATGAGCGCCGCCTCAAGGAGCTGGTCTTCCAGACAGAGGAGGACCACAAGACCAACCAGCGCATGCAGGAGCTGGTGGAGAAGCTGCAGAACAAGCTGAAGGTCTACAAGCGGCAGATCGAAGAGGCGGTGGGTACTCTCCACACGTCCCTAATTCTCCCTCCCTTTCCAGGCCAGGTCTCATTAGAATTAACCACAGGGAAGGAATCACGTATTAGTCAAAAGATGATTCCCGTGAGCCTCTCATCCATGGCACTTCATCCTCACTATCTGTAGGAAGTGGAGTGGACACTGCACACCGGCGATAAGAACATGTCAAAAACAAAAATATCCCCTAAGAACATCCGTGCTAACTGAAGTGCCCACTGCAGGGCATGCTCTAAAACCGGGGAGGCCTTAACAACTCTGTCCTGCTTCCATTGGCCCTGTGGCCTCTGCCAGGACAACTTCTCCCTCCTGGTCATACTGTTAAACACAGGGACCCACCCTTATTTGATCCCCCTGACGCACGGCAGGAAAGCTGATATTCTTAGACCATTTCACAGGTGAGGAAACAGCCCAGAGTGGGGTATTTCTGTTATGTTAGGAAATGTTAAAGTTAATGTCAAATGGTTAGCAAATGATGCCTTCAAGTCTCAACTCTACACCACATTTCCACCTACCACACCACCCAGGACATAGATATTTGACTCTGCTGTTTGCTGCCAGTTCTGGGGCCACCACATTAAATCAGCCATCCATGCACCCAGTGCCCTTCCCAAAAGTCTGGATAAAGACCAGGTGTACGGTAAATATGGTCTAAACAAAATGATGCTACCAGTCTACTGGGTAGACGAGGGGATGAGAAACATGCGGTGGGAGCTGGGCGAAGCTCTAAATCCACATCTTCCGTGGTAGGGCACCAACTACTAATGCCTAAAATCACAAATTCTAGAAGAAATGACAGAGCACATTTTACTTAAAATATGGATGTCAAGGCCAAAAATAATCAGCTAAAAATGTTGAAGGCGGTTGTCTGTGGTGAGCTGGAGGGTGCCCCTGACCCGGAACTGCTGTTTTTTAATAAGCCTTACAGAACGACTGCGCTCTTAGATATCCATACAGAACCAATAACAAAGCACATTTAACCAGAGCAAGCCAGGTTCACACCCCATTTCTACTGTGCCTTTGTCGCAGGAGGAGCAGGCCAACCAGACCTTGGCTCGCTACAGGAAGACGGTGCATGAACTAGATGATGCTGAGGAGAGGGCCGGCATGGCGGAGACCGCCCTGAACAAGCTGCGCACCAGACACCGCGTGGCTGGCAAAGGCATCACTTCTGTGGAGATCATCCAGGTGTCCAAGACAGGCTCCTCCAAAACCCTTTCTGAGTGAGGGTCTCTGTCCCAGCCCACAGCCGGTACGTGTGGATTCCTCTCTCGACCGCCATGCTCCAAGTTCCCCTTCCCTGCCCCTGCTTTGCTCCCTCTGACTTCTATGCTTCCAGGCTTCCAGTCTGCCATGCCCTTATCTCATGCAGTGAGAACCTCAAAGCTATCCCTGTCTTCTCAGCTGCAACACTCCCTCTCTAGAGTCTCAAAGCTCTCAGGTGGGTGCTGTCCACCTGTATCACAGGTGCTGGTGGTCTTGATGCTTCCCCATCTGAGTGGAAGCTCATTGAAGGCAGGTTCCATGTCTGATGCCACTCAACACTAAGCCTGGCAGATCGGTGCTAAGTACACACTTTTTACTAGAGAACCATGGGGCGTTTGCAAGCTTATAAGCAGTGTGTATTCATCTTTCACATCCACACAATATCATTATTCCTGAGATTTCATCAATACTGGTAGAATTTAGGGTTCTAACATTAAGAAAATAATAATAATCGCAGCTACCATTTCCTGAGCACTGAGTGCAGGTGGGATTTTAGGGGAACATTTTAAAACAGTCCTTTCTCATTTTCCTTAACTCAGAACCAATTGAAAAGAATACAGGAGACAAATACGTAAAAGTCAAAATGCTAGTTTTATTATGGTACAATTCTAGATTGAGAATTTAATGGGTGTCCATCATGGGCATCCTTGTACTCCACCCCAGAATTAGAGGCACCTGCAGAACTGAATAACCACAGCCCTGCTCTCTGGGGAGCAGCCCCTATTCCAAGGGGAGGAGTGACTAGGACTTACCAAACCCTGCAGGTAGAGCCATAAGGCGAGACCAGATGGGGCTCATCCCTGCCCTTCTGGTTCCTTCTTCCAAACACAGGATGCATTATTCCTCTTCCCATGAGAGGAGCAAGGGAAAAGTGAGGAGAAAGGCAGAGAACATTATTCTGGAGCAGTGGTCCCCAAAACTCTACCTGGGAAGTTGTTAGAAATGCAAATTCTTAGGCTTCGCTCCAGACCTACTGAATTAGAAGCTCTGGAGGTGGGCTCAGCATCTCTGGTTTAACCAGCTCTCCAGATAGTTCGGACGTATGATCAAGTTTGAGAACCAATGCTATTACAGAAATCACCCCTTACAGAAACATAAAGTCAGGGAACAGAGGTTTCTCCTGCTTTTGCAAGAGCCAGGCTCATGGTATATGTTTCTCATTATCTTATTTATCCTATGAGGTAGGTATAAATATCTCAGACATGTAAGGAAAGTAAGCTCAGAGAAGTTCAGTAATTTGCCCAGGGTCATCCAAGCTCTGTGCTATGGAAAGTCAAGCTATCTTGTTACTGTGAAGATTGAAAAGGCTGACCTCTGTTTAGGATTAATCAGGACAACACAAGATCAAGGACTTGGTTTAAGTTGGGAGGGGCAGGGGGGCTGGAGTCCCAGTGCTGATGTGCCGATGTTCAGCCTCCATGGATTCTGGGAATTTTTTCTGGCCTCATGTTCAAATATCTGGTTGAATCAGCCCTCAGTGAGGGTAAGGTTCCTCACTCAATTATAGCTATCTCTCAGGGCTGGGTCAATTGGGATTTTTAGCCAAAAGCGATAACCCTGTTGACATTTGAATTCAGACTGAGCCTTTTCTTACCATTTGCTTAGGGAGGAAACAAAAATAGGACACAGAATCTTTTTCTTAATTCCCTAACTCTTAAATATTGGTTAGCTCCAGAAGTTGAAACCAGAGGCTTGCCTCTGGATGAGTCCTTCAATTAATGTGTAACCATCTCCTTTCGGGGCAAAAACCTGAAGAGTTCCTCTCTTAAGCTCTCACCTTGGCAGGGGTTACTCATGAGGCTTCCTGCACTACCCAGGCTCAGGAGGCATTTCAGCTCCTTCCAACTCCTAAGTCTTAGCCTCTAGGATTAGACACCCTGTAAAGCAGATGCCTGCCCTGACTTGGTGACTGTTTATCCCTGGGGTCTGCCGGTCCTGGTCCAACTGCTCTCTCTCCACACCACTGGGCTGCAGTCCTGCCAATGGCACACAGAGGTCATGAGGCTGAGGCCCCTGGGGTCTGCTCTCCAGGTCTTGACCTCTCCTCATTCTCTTTTCCCATTTTCCCTTGTTGGTCACAGGGCCAGATATGCTGTCAGTAGCCATGAGATGTCTAAAGCAAACCAGTACACATACATGGGTCAGCACTGAGTCAAGACCCCATAGAGTTTAGTTTTCCAAAGCAGCCTTATATTCAATCCCACAAATATCAATCAAGCTCTGAATATGGGCTAGACCTGTACTCTGGGATACAGAGATGAATAAGAGAGAACATCCTCCACTATGGAGCTCAGAATCTGGTGCAGAGATAGATGCACACATTACCACAAGGCTGTGAACAGATGTTCTGTGATGGGAGATAATCACAGAGAAGGAGCAACTGCTTTATCCTGAGGTGGCTGGGTGGAGTAGCCGCACAGAGGATGTGACCTGTACAAGAGTCCAGAGCAGTACCACTCAGTGGGTAGTACCCATTTGTTACCTGCCCAAGACAACAGAAGTACAGAAACTGAGAGGGAGCTTTTAGAAATGTTTGTAGCAATTGATACTGTGTGACCTCCAAGGATATGATCTGTGTATTTTATAAAAGTATTAGTCTCTGATATTAATTAAAATAAATAAAAGTGAAATAAAAATTAATGGAAATTAAAAAGAATAAATCTGATCCCTCACCAGGTAGAGAAAGAAAAAAGGGAATTCTGGGTAGAAGGCCCAACACATGCAAAAGTACAGATGTGGGATTCGCACAAGGAAGCAACATGAGTGGAGCAGAGGGGCTCAGGATGAGGCGAGAGGGATGGACAGGTGGGAGATGAAGCTAGTGGGATAGGCATGGGTGAGGTTGGGTAGGGTCCTGTTGGGTGCAAGCATTCCATAATCTCCATAAGGAAGTCTTGCTAATTTTCAAATCCATTTGTGGACTGTGATGAGCAGTAGCTTCTCTTTCTTGGGAAGACACATCACAGCAGTAAAACAAGCGTCTCGGCCCCTCATAAGACACCACAGATGGGAGCATGCTGGCCCTCTCAATGGCTTGTGGAGTTCAGGCCTACTTGGGCCTGCCAAGCCAAAGGTTTCTCTACACGCTCACGACCTCATGCAGAGTGAGTCAGGTATGACCCAATGGTGTCCATCACAAGGAAGAAAGCCTGTACAGAAGCAGCAGCACTCGGGGTGTGGTCTTTTTAACAAGAAGCGGGCAAAGGTTCAGAACTCCCAGCTCTAGCTCATAAGGATTGTCTCACTCTGTCTCTCTTGTCTTCTAGGGTGATTACAGATCTCAACAGCAGACCTCTGAGGAGAAAAATATATGAAAATGGAAAACTGGGTCTATCCTAAGAATGTTTACTATGCAAAGGAAAGTGCAAGCCAGAAAGAGACAAGTGCTAGAGAATGAAGATAACTGTGGAAGGAAATGGGTTTGGGAATGTATACACCCAACCATTAGAGGAATTGAAATTAGCATGGCTTCTCTGAGACTGTGTCAAGCTGTGTAAGCACTTGGGTAACAGTGGTGGAAGGTCTGTTTTCGTTGAGATCTTATATATTCATGTCAAGGACGGAATATGTAATGTGTGACCTGGCTGTTTTTTCTCTAGAAATAATTCCTCACATGGACAATTTTAAGCCTTGTCTCAATGCAATTTACATAAAAGAAATATGAAAAATATACCAACTAGAGATTGTCTTTATTTGTCTAAGACTTCCAAATCCAAAGGCAATTTTTACAACATATCAGAGTTCTGTTGCATCCGTATATCCTAATTCACAGGCTTGTTTCTACTGGAAACCATGAAAACCATGAGTCTTGGTGAGGTTCTTTGCAAATTTTGAAAGGGTATATCAGTGATATAAAGACAATCTTGGTTTCATAAAGCTCAGGAAGTTATGGAATCCCCTATAAAGAGATGTTAAGATCCATCCAGGCTAACAACCCACAAGGCCCCCAAGTAATCCACCTCAGCGACTCCCACAATGTTTAGACATGGGCAGGTCAGCTCCATGCAGGCAGGTGGTTTAGTGTTTTTTTACTCACTGCTGCATTCTTAGCAACTAGAGAGTGCCACGCCTAAAGTAGGCACACGGTAACTATGTGCAGAATGACTGATGGAGAATGAGCTGCCTCTAAGACATTGCCAGAAAGTTCTTCCTTAAATCTCCCTGCTCCCAGAGGTATCCACTTGCTAACCCTGGTTTTAATACCCAAGACTCTGCAGAACCACCTTAATGGAAGACAGTTCTCATGGTCCTTTCAGGTTTTCTCTTCTCCAGACTGAATATTCCTGGGTTGTTCAACCTTTCCAAGTGTGGCAGGGTTTCCACTGTCACCTTCTAACACTCCTCAACCCTGTTCCTCTCCTCACTTTCCTAGTCTTCAGAGTGCAGGGGTGGAGCGGGCAGTACTATGAGGGCTCCTTGCCAGTTCACAGCCCTCAGAACACACCTTTCTTCAGCTCCCTGGAAACGGTGTCTTCCCTTTGACTATTAGCACTCTGACTGCTCTCCAATCCATTGGAAAAAGAAGTCATTGTTTGGGCTGATAGAGGAAGGGGATAGTCATATTCCGTTGGTGGAGCCTTCTCCATCTTTACATAAGCCCATATCACCTTTATGATGGTTCTAAACTTGGCTCTCTCTAGGCAGCTCCAGAGGGAGCTTTGTCTGGTTTCTTCTGAGCAAATGGATAAAATGTGAAGATACTGCCCTCTGGTGGCAGTGTCTCCAACTGCTGTGTGTGAATTTCCTGCGAGACACCAAATCACAGAATTTTAGAATTACATTAGAATTTTAGAGCTCGAAAGGACATTCAGAGGGTGTCCAGTCCAATTCTCAACCAGTTGGGGATTCCCCTCCATAACATCCCTTGAAAAAATGGTAATCCAACTTGTACCCAAACCCTTTCAGTGAAAAAAAGGCAGCCCATTTCAATTTTGACAATCATGGTTCAAACGTCCCAAATAACATTGAACCAGAATATGTCTCCCTACATTTTGATCTAGTATTCACATCTGTAATTACATAAAAAAATAAGTCTAATTCTTATACTTTAAAGTCAGACAGATATGAGTTCCCCTTTCCCAACAGTATGATCTTGGGCAATTTAACTTATCTCAACTATTAAATGAGGAATAACAGCATCTGCCTCAAAGGAATGTGAAGTTTAAACAATATAATTCGGCATAGAGCCTATTATGCATGACATCTGGACTCGTCAAGATTCTTCTAGCATTCTGTAGAACTTCAACACTTGAGCTCTTGCTGGAGAAATGCAAAGGGCATTCCATGTTTGAGACCTCATCATTGTTTCCTGAATATTCCACCCTGTAGTCTCCCCATACACAGAGAATTCCAGAGAAGCTCCTCACTTTGTGGGGGGAAGGCGGAGAACGGGAGGGGAACAGCTCAGTGACTTGCCCAAGACCATTCAGTTAACAGCAGAGCTACAAAGTCTTTGTAGCATGAGATGAAGTTTCTAATCCAGTATTTATAAAACAATGGACTTCACTTAGTCTCATATGCTGGTTTCGCCTAAGGACATGTAACTTCAGAATAGCATCTAGGCCTAAAGTGATACAATCTATAGCCTTGCAAAAAACATTAGTTGGTATCCACAATAATTGCAATCAGGGCACTGGCACCATGTTCTACAGAGTAAATGGAACAAAGACAATTTGAATGCTTCTGCTAAATGTTTGGACTAGCTTTCAAGGCTACTAAATTTTGAATCACTGATTGTATTAACTGCATTTTCTTATTTTCTATATTCTTGATGCTCCAGAATCTGGGGCCTCCCTGACTGAGGAGACACTGCCTCTCCCAGGGGTAGCCAATTCTTCGCGACAACAAAGAGCTTTTATACAAAGACTAACCAATCCAGAGCCCATACTCTGAACCACCTTCTCTGGTGTCTCTTATACTCTAGGGAGGCAATATTCCCCTGCCCTATCACCCAGAGCCAGATACCAGACAACTAGGGACAGCCCTTATGCCCCAGAGCCCACTGAAATTATTCAAACTAGCCAATCCTAACCTGCTTACCCTGCTTTGCCAAATTGATTGAGCCACAGGATGCCCAGATATTTGGTCAAACATTATTCTGGGTATTTCTGTGAGGGTATTTTTGGATGAGATTGGTGTTTTAATCAGTAGACTGAGTAAAGCAGCTTGCACTCCATAATGTGGGTTGGGACACTGGGGGTAAGGCTGTATTAGAAGATGAACATTCTTCCCAAGGAGTGGAGCCCAGTTTTGAGTCATCTGAATGGCCCAGAAAAATCTCAAATCCTAAAATTAGATTAAGGTGATCCCACATTGCTGACACCCTCAGGCACCTGGCAAAATGAGAATGGAAATCTTATCTGGGCAAAGATACAATCATTTTAGGTCTCAAATTATTACCACACTATTTTAAAAATAAAATGTTAGACACAACACTGATAACCAAGCATATGAGAGGATAAGAACATAAATGAAAACCAGTCATACCAACATGTTGGTAATAGAAACAATTCCACAGAAACTTCAGAAAAGTGGTAAATATGTGATATTTACTATAGAATTAAAATGAATGACAAGAACAGCATATAACTGTGGAGGATAACAAGAGTCAAGGTATTCTAAGACCTGTGCATTGTCCAGGAAGAGAAAGTACTGATCATTGGTGTGCTGCTCTTCACAGGACAAAAGTCCTGTTCTGTAGCCTTTGCTACTTTCTATCATGTAAATGCTTCCACGATGGCCCATTTCCAGCTACCAACTATTGAACATGTAGTTGGGAAGAGATGGGCACAATCTGCTCTCCTGAGCCAGTTTGAGCCAGGGCTAGCATACTTCTGAATTAGTCCTTGAAAATAAAATAAGAAAAAATAATCAATCCAAAAGAAGGCAAGAAAGGAGAGAAAAAGAAACAGAATAATCAGGACAAAAATAAAGTATCTAGTAAGATGGTAGAGTTAAACTCAAATATATCAGTAATTACTTAAAACATAAATGATCTGGGGGCCGGCTGAGTGGCTCAGTTGGTTAAGAGCTCGCTCAAGAGTTTGAGCTCTGAGCAACAGTGGTTCGAGTCAGCCCGAGCTGAGCAGCCGTGAGCTGCCAACAGGTGGCGGGATGGCTCAGCTAAAAAAAAAAAAAAAAAAAAAAAAAATAAAAATATCTGGGATGGCTCAGCTAAAAAAAAAAAAAAAAAAAAAAAAAAAAAAAACATAAATGATCTGGATATTTCAGTTAAAAGATAAACATACTATAAAAATAAAAGGCAACTATATGTTGTTTATGAGCAACACATCTAAAAACATAAAGTAATAGAAAAGTTGAAAGTTAAAAAGAGAGAAAAAGATACATTAGGCAAACACAAACCAAAAGAAAGGTGGTATAGCTATACTTGTATTAATACCACATAAGTAAATACACTAAGTAAAGACAAAAAGCACTATTTGGAAGGAACATTTCATTATAAAACATTATGATAAAACAATTCATCAGAAGACATAATAATTCTATAATATAGAGGCACCTATAATATAACACCAAAATATATAAAGAAAAAAAGACAGAATTAGAATAGAAATAGGCAAACCCACAGTCATTTGGGAGATGTTAACATCTTTCTTAGTAACTAAAAGAACAACCAAGCAAAAAATCAGTAATTAAACTAAAATTATGTAATTAAGGCAGAAATCAATAACAAAAATATAACTTAAAATCTCATGTTTAGAAATTAAGAAATGCTAATTCTACACAAACTCCTCCAGAAAGTTAAAGAGAAAGGAACACTTCAGAACCCATTTTATGAGGCCAGAATTACTGATACCAAAACTAGAAATTATGTGAAAAATAAACTACAAAACAATATCCTTCATATGCAAAGATTTTAAATTAGATTTTAAATTGTTAAATTCTTAACAAAATTTTAGCCACTGAATACAATAATGTATAAAAAGAATACTACATCAAGACCAAGTAGGCCTTTCCCCACAAATGCAAGTTTAGTTTAACACTCTAAAATGAGTGAAGGTTAAAACCTATAAAACTTCTAGAAAAAAATAGGAGAAAATCTATATAACCTTGGATTAGGCAAAAATTTCTTAGACATAACACCAGATAAATGGACTTCCTCAAAATTAAGAATGTCTATTCTTTGAAAGACATTAACAGAATGAATGAAGAGAAGCCACAGACTGGGTAAAAACAATTGGGGAGTACAGGCATACCTCAGAAATATTACAGACTTGGGTCTAGACCACCACAGAAAAGTGAATATTGCAATAAAGCAAGTCACATGATTTTTTTGGTTTCCCAAGGGCATATAAAAGTTATACTTACACTATACTCTAGTCTATTAAGTATGCAATAGCATTAAGTCTAAAATATGTGTATACCTTCATTAAAAACACTTTATTGTTCAAAAAAAATGCTACTCATCTGAGTCTTCAGCATGTCATAATCTTTTTGCTGGTGTGGGCCTTGCCTCAATGTTGATAAAAACGCAGTATCTGGAAAGTGAAATAAAACAAAGTGCAGTAAAATGAGGAATGCCTGTAACAAAGCATAACAATCAACTTGGTACATTTATGTTCAAATAACAACTGCCACAATTTATAGAGTGCTTTTAATGTGCCAAGAACTGTCAAGTACTTTATTTACACTGTCTATTTTAATCCTTAGAACAACCCTAAGAGGTGGGAGCTATTATCCTCATTTGACAGATAAACTTAGGGAAGTTAACTGACTTTGCCCGAAATCAGTAAAATGCAGTCAGGATTTGAATCCAGTTCTATTTGTTTCCAAAGTCAAAGAACTCTCTTAAGCATTGTCACACTACTTTTTTATTAAAATAATCTAAGATTGCATAACAGCATAGAAAAATGTGTTAGAAACAAAATGTGGTCCTCGCCCCCAGATTTACAGGCTAGTAAACTACAGGTTTCAATTATCAAAATAGGAAAACAATACCTAGTATTCATAAGTACACTTGTGTGCTTGTCTTGTAAGTATGGTGTTTGTGATAGTACGTTACTTATATACCATCTAAGACTATCTTATGCCCCTAGATGCCCCATAAACTGGTCTCATCCCTGTGCAATGGTAATGAACTCGGTGAGCAGCCTAGAGTAGAAAAATCTGTATGTATTTCTCAGTCCCTCTGGCACTGAATAGTACAAGACTCTTTCAATAGGAAACTCCCTCCTTGAAACCACACCACAGCCATTATGACAATATCTAAAGCATAACAATTACTAAGTATTAATACAGTATGCATTTATGGTTTTGTCCTTTTATTTAATTGTAGTTTATAGGGGCACTGATTTAATAATATTTCCAACCATTTTTGTGGTGAGTAGGTGGGAGGCATTAATCCATGGAAGAGATAGAAATGGGGACAGATTGGCAGTAAATGTTCACTGTCATTCAGCTGGTGGCACAAGCAAGAAACAATCATCTTACTCTCCACATTCCAGATACTAAATCAAAGCTCTCCTGAGCAGAAGGAATTTCTTAGGCTTTTGCAAACATATACTAATCTTCCCAACCTATGATTGGTTATATTCTGATGTGTCTCCCTCCATTTACAACTGGTGGTAACCTCTGTTCTTTGAAAGTCCAGACTATTTCTTTCATTCACTCGGTTTCATTCAACAAACATTAACTAAGCTCTTCCTGGTTCAAGGCATTGTGCATTTCCTTGTATTTAAAACTATCTGTGAATTGATCTTATCCTAGTCTCTAAGTTCCTCCAAGATAGAGGGATTTTACCCAACTCTTCTGTGCATTGCACGAAATGCTTAACACAATACTTGGCACTTGATGAATACTCACCAAATATCTGATGATTTGAAGCTTGACCAGATTTCATTTCAATCCTATTCAATCAATCTAATTCAATCAATCTAATTCAATCCAATCAAATCAAGAAAGCCAACAAAATCATTATATGGCAGCGTCCAACTCTTCTCATCCTCCCATTTCCTATTTCTAGTACCACCTTCCTTGGAACTAATTTTTTAAAAGGCAGAGTCCTCATTTTGGATAGATCAGTGTCATTACACAAATCTAAAAACAAACACTAAAAATAACTCACCCTCCTTAGGACTCCAATGGCTCTTATACAAGGGCATGGGTGGGATAATGGAAAATGCTCTGCATTAGGCATCAAAGGCCAGCCCTGCCACTGGCTTATATCAAAACCTTCCAGTCTCAAAATCCTCTGCTTCTGTTTCCTTAGTTACAGAATAAGGTGGTTTCACTTAAAGAGCCCCTTTAGAACTGAGGTTCTACCATCTGGATTGACAAGGTAACAATGAAGAGAGTTCCGTGGTCTAGAGCTCTGGTCTAGCGCTCTAGGTTGTGCTTTCGAGGGGTCTGAAAAAAGAATATCACTCTGACATTTCAAAAATATGTTATCCCATATGCATAAGAACAATGGACAGGGCTCACTTATGGTAAAGATTGACCTTTGCTAAGGAAGATATAGGCCTGGAACAACCTAGCTACTATGACCTGCCCAGCTAGGAATTTATGATCCGACTCTCGTCACTGAGCTAATTGGGCCTGCCCAAGTAGCCTCCTGAGCTTGTCCTGTTTAACATGTCGCCCCTTTTCATTCATAAGTAGAATGCATCTACACAACAAGAACTGTCTTCGTGTGTGTGTGTGTGTGTGTGTGTGTGTGTGTGTGTGTGTGTCGGGGGGAGGTATTTGCTTAATTCCCCCAACTCTTCTGTCCTGTGGCGTCATTTTGGTAGCAAGGAACAATTGATTCCAACCCAAGTTTCCTCAGAGAGTACCTTAGAGACTTCCCACAGAGGAGATTGGCTCTGACAGGGGCTCTCTGAAGGGAGAAAAACATAGCCGTTCCCGAGTCCCTGTAGCTGGAAAGGCCCCCATTCTCAGTAATGCATTTTCTGACAAAAGCACTTGTGAAACCGCCAAGGCTCCATCCACACTTCGATCCGTAAGTATGAGGAAATTTTCGAGGAAAGGAGTAAGATGCCTACGCTGCTTCACCACCACCTTCTAGCCCGTTTGTAAAGCCGCCTCAGAGGGGGCGCCGCAGCGCTCAGCAAGAACCCTCTCGGGTCTCACCCACTCCGTACCGCCCGCGCGTTGGAGCTGTGCGCATGCGCAGACTGCCTGAGCAGCCGGGCTGCGCAGACGCCGTAAGCGTTTCCGGGATCTGTCAGCCGCTCCCTCTGAGCTTTGGTTCTACTCCCGCGCCAGTTGGAGCCTGTTCGCGTCGACTGACCAGAGTCCGCGAATTCTCCGCTCCAAGCCCGTCGGGACTGCCCCGACCCCAGGTAAGGAGCAGCAGGAGCGAGCTTTTGGCCCTGTGGGCTTCCACTGACTTGGCCTCGTACCGGACTTGAACCCGCGGGGACAATGAGGCGGGGGCTTAGGCCGCGGGGCCCGGAGTCTAAGGGCTGGTGGGTCTCCCTGCCCGGCCTCCGGGAGGGGGCGGGGGATCCCCGTTCTCCGGGGGACTCGCCCAGCTCCTGGATCCCCATACAGATCGTTTCTCAAAATTTTCGAGCTCCAAGCCTCTTCGAATGCCAGAATTAACAGCTTCTCCTGCGCTTCCGTAGCCCTATTTCCACCTCTATTGTGGCCGTTTATCACAGTCTGTAAAACTGTGGTAAATGGAATAACCTCGCCCTCATCGGGCGTCGCGAGAGACCGTTTCTTTCTTTAGCCTCTAGAATAGGTCCCTGCACACGGTAGGCGCCCGTAGAACATTTGGTTTCTGTGTAGGGCAGAATCCTTCAATTATTGGGGACAGAATCCTCAATCCTTCAGTTATTGGGGACCCTTATGAACTAGAGAAAAACCTCCTCCCTAGTCCCCCTCTTGAGTGCCCCCCGTCCCCTGAATCGAAATTGCACATATTGTCTCCGTGGAACCTTTGATGTAGCACCTTTCACATTCCAACCCTCCAGTGGACTACCGAAACTCGTAATCCCAGCTGCTTCACTTCGTTGGATGCCTCTAGCAAAATTGCTTCTCTGAGTCCCTGTTTCTTCATCTACAATAAGAAGATTCTTAGGGCTTTCTGGAGAATCAAGTGAGTTTGTTTGCATAAATTGCTTAGAATAATTCCTGGCCCAGAGTAGGTGCTCAATAAATATTAGCTATTATTACTGCTTCTGGAGATTGTGTGCTTATCTATCTTCCCTTCCTCTCCGAACTGGCTCCAATTCTCTCTTGAGGACCAGAAAAGAGTCAGATTGATTTATGTTTCTGGCCCCAACTTGGTACTTTACACTGCTGGGAACATGGTAGGCACTTATTAAATTATAACTTGGACTCTTTATGAAGCCATCTGGTATACTGCAGCTTTGGAACCTGCTTTTATCTACCTCAACCCATTGCCTAAATTACCTAAATTTTCCTAGTTCTGTCCCATTATCAATTTCACCTAACCTTTTGGTTTTATGTAGGCCCTGTGTATATTAAAACAAAGGAGAGGATATCTGGAAGGTGTTTTTGCCTTAGAGTGTGGGTGTGACTGGCTGCTTCCTATCACAAAGTATTAAAAGATAATTTCTAAGGTTAATTCATCTACTTATCACAATTTAAGGCGTGGATCGTCTTGGAAAAATTAAAACTATTGTGTGGAGGGAGACTGGCAGTATTTCGATCTAGTTGACTAATCCTATGCTGAAAGAAATTCTGCACAAAGAAGTTTAAAATGGTCTGTTGATGAGACTGGTGCCTGGAACTGAAACACGTTTCTGAACATTGTGGTGGGTGTGGTAACCTTGTTGCAGTACCTGGTGTTGCAGGGTTAGGTAATGAGAGCAATTAGAAGCTGGATGAATCACAGTCTTGAAAACTGACCCTAAACAGGGTGTATTCCCACTGTAGAAATACTTTCAGGCTCCAGGGCCAAGAATTCAAAGCATATGTAGATGTTTCCAAGTTCAGGGGATACTAACTGGTGTGTACTTCTTGGGATAGTTCAAAAGCCTTGTCAGAGGAAAAAAGGGCACTAACTTACTGAGCATCTGTTGCGGGCTGAGCTTTGTACTATACACTTTGACATGTTATCTCATTTAATCTTCCTACCAAACAACCTTGGGATGTCAGTAATATGTTCATTTTATAGATGAAAAAACGATATTTAGAGATATTGAATGACCTGCCCAGGGTCTCATAGCTAGTGTGTGTCAAAGCCAGGATTCAGACTCAGGTTCCCTTGGCCCCAGAGCCCATAGCTAACCAAACATGAGAATGACTGTACTCAAAGGGATAGGTAAAGAAAAGAATTTGGGATGGGGGCAGTTCCTGGAATCATACTCTGCTATAAATCATTTCTCATTCTCAGTGCTGGACAATAAAAGGTCATCAGTAGAAACTTGTTAAATTTAATGTCACCTGCTTTTTTTGTTCCCTTTTTCTCTTCTCTACCTTCATTAAGACAAAGGTTTTCAGATTTCACTTAAATATTAATCACAGTTTAGAAATTATAATTATCACCCTACGACAGATGGTATCTTTTTCTTGGTACAAAATTCAAGCTATTCTTCATTCGCTGAGTTTGATGAATACAGGCTGTGTTTACTTGGTGGCTTATAAATTTGACAAATATGAGTGTTCTCTTGGCCTACAGACTTAAAATAGCCACGATTGTAAAAGAATTACAGGTCTGAGTGTATGTCTAAATATAGAGTTTGAATGTTATACGAAATTAGAAATGCAGTTTTAGAAGTAATTATGCCATTGTGTAAATGTTGACCTCTTTTGAAGGTTTTGCTACATTCTTATAAAACTGAATTGAAGAATGAGAAAACCTTTGGCTGCAGCTATTTTTGTTAACTGTGTGTGAAATTGTGCTTTTATTGAATGTAGATTTCACATTAAATTATTAATTTGCAGACCAATTTTGTTTCAGTTAACAGATGAACTTATAAAGTGTAGCTTTGAACTAAATTGCTTTTAATTAAGGAGATATTTGTGATACGACATGTTATTTTGAGTAACTGAATAAAGCCTGTTGTGATGGGTAAGCATCTGATATCAGAGATAAAGAGAGCCATGCAGTAAGCATCTGAAAGTTTAAAAAAAAACAAAACAAATTTAAGCGGTCTCATTTGAATTTACTTTAAAAAATTTTTTTAATTTCCAATTAGAGTCTTTTTGTTTATTTGTGAATTGCAATTTGCTGTCTAGAACATGCAAAAGTAAAAAATTAAGTGACCTAAATATCTTCACTCTTAGAATAAAATGTGAAACACTGACATTTCTCTTCCAGTTCAAGATATCAGGTGTTAAATAAGGGTGCACTTATCTCTTTTTGACCTCTGGGTTCCTTTATAACAATTAGCAGAGAAATTTCTTCTGCTTTCTGCTAAGATTGATTTCTACTTTGTCTGCTGAACTTTCATTATTCACTTTACAACCTTCTGGTGACCCTTCCATTCATTTCCTGCTTGCATCACAATTCCTATCGCACATTTTAGTCTCCACCCTAGGTTAACATGACTTGTACTTAAGTGTATTGCAACTTCAGAGTGTTGTGAGAGTGCCTCTTAGAAATGATTAAATTGAGTGCTTGTTTGAAAAAATTTATCTTATTTCAGGTAATAGTTGCATCTTCGGTGGATCTAGATTTGTGTGCCTATAAAATGGAAAACTTCACTTGATTTTTAATTTAATGATGTTTCACAGATTCCTGCTTTTCATTTAATTACAATAAAAAGTTTAAAGAGTAATAAAACAAATATCTGCATACTCTGCCTACATTCACCAGTTAACATTTTGCCACATTTGCTGTTTATCTACTTGTTATTTTAAAGGATTGAAAATAAGTTACAGAAGACATCATGACACTTCACTCCTAAACCCTTCATCATCTTTATCTCCTAAGATTTAGGACATTCTCCCACCCAAGGACAAACAATTAGAAATTAAAGAAATTAATTTAAGAAAGTAAAAATAATTCCGTATTGTTATGTAATATGTAGCCCAAATTCAAATTTTCCCTATTGTACAAAATACACTTTTTATGAATATTTTTAAAATATAGATTACAATCAAGTTTCTATATCAGATTTGATTTTCATAGCTCTTTTAATCTAGAGCACCACCCCCCTTCCATTGCCTCCTTTTAATAGTCCAGTTGTTTTATAGGACGGCACACATTCTAATTTTAACAGTTTATTTTTCCCTTTCATGTTTTTTAACTAATTCCATTCCCCTTTACTTCCTCAAAACTATAATATTAGGTCTGGACCTTGATTGGGTTTAGAGTAAATATATTTGACATAAATAATTCACAGCTATGTTGGCTATATTATGAGGTTTCTCCAGGATATTACTGTGACCTGTTGTCACAGCATAATTATTAACAGTGCCCCTTTTTGCTCTCTTAAAAGTATTCTGGTCTGGATGATAAATTAAGTGGTCACTATTTACAAGTGATGATGTGCACTTCATGTTGCCTCCCCTCAGGAGACCCATCAGATTATATTCCACTATTTATGATACTAAGTTTGATCACTCGGTTAAGGTGATGTTTTTTATTGTAAAGGCATGTTTTTCCCTTTGTAATTAGTAAGTAATCTGTGGGATGATCACTTGAGACTGTGAATATCCTGTACCCCAGTAATCTTTAACCCATGGTTTTAGTCTTTTGATGACCCTTGACAATAAATTATACATTGGTGGTTACCATGCTAGTTGTATTTAAATGATTAAGTTTTGACATCGAGATTGATTTTTTTTTTTTAGTAGGAGAATAGTGTTTTATTTATCCCCAAACGTTTCAAGATTCCCAGACAGCTTAAATATTGGTTTCCTGCTATTTTAAATGCTTTTTTCTGTTTGCTCATTGCAGCTTTCTATCCTTTGAAAACACTAAGAATAATGTCCCTGCATCAATTTTTATTAGAGCCAATCACCTGTCATGCCTGGAACAGGGATCGTACCCGTAAGTATGCTATTTGTGCCTGTATTTTGGTAACTTTGATCCTTTAGATTTAGGCACTTCTGGGGATTATGTATTTCATTGTCACATGTGAAAAGGATAGACATAGGTTCAGAAGGGAACTGGGTCAGTCCTTTGGTTTTATAGATATAGAAACTGAGGCCTATACTATTGGAAGGACTTTTCAGTGGTCACACCTCAAGTTAACGTCAGAGCCATTGCTAGCACCAGGCCTTCTGGTTCCTTGTCCACTTCTTTTTCTACAGTACCACTTGGAAGACAGTTCATATCAGAGACATCTTTCATTGCCCTAAGAACCCAGTGTCTGGAATGGTTATGCAGTAACACCACACTTATTCAGCATTTAGCCAGAATTCTAGAACCTAGAAATAAGCTGTTTCAGAAACATGTTTTTTTCCTGAATACTGAGAGTAGTACTAACGAGTATTCACTATGTTATTCATAACAAGCTTGAGTTTCTGGTTTTCTGCTCCAGCAAACTAAAAAGGAACGGAGAAGACTCTTAGAAGTAGACACAGTACAGCAAGCAACGTGACAGATAATATGACAAGGTGGAAAGAAAAAAATCTAGAAACAGAAGTGTAGTATTATGCCCATGAGTTATTTTTAAAAGTTGAATTATATTCACTATTTTTTTAAATAAGGGATAATTATATAGAACTAAGATAGTTCACATAACATAAAATACATCCTTTTAAAGAATACAATTCAGTCGTTTTTAGTATATTCACAGAGTTATGCAACAATCATCACTATCTAGCTTCAGAATATTTTCATCACTCCAAAAAGAAATTTTATACATATTAGCAGTCACTTCCAGTTTTCTTCAAAGCTTCCAGTCCTAGGCAACTACTAAGCTATTCTCTGTCTCAGTGGATTTGCTTATTCTGGACATTTTGTATAAATGGAATCATACAATATGTGCCTTTTTACATTTAGCTTCTTTCACAGAGCATAAATGTTTTCAAGGTTCATCCATTTTGTAGCATGTATCAGTGCTTCATTTCTTTTTGTGGCTGAATAATATTGTATAGACATACCTCATTTTGTTTATTCATTAGTTGGTGAACATTTGGGTTGTTTCCACTTTTTGGCTATTGTGAATGTTGCTGCTATGAACATTCACATACAAGTTTTTATGTGGACATATGTTTTCACTTCTTTTAGAGTGTATACCTAGGAGTTGAATTGCTGTGTCATATGGTAACTGTGTTGAACATTTTGAGGAACTGCCAGACTACTTTCCAAAGTGACCACAGCATTTTACATTCTCACTAGCAATATATGAGGGTTCAGAATTCTCCACGTCCTCATCAACACTTGTTATTATCTGTGTTTTTTATTATAGCCATATGCCCACCATTATCCTAGTGGGTATAAAATAGTTATCTCATTATAGTTTTGATTTGCGTTTTCCTAATGACTAATGATGTTGAGCATCTTTTCACATGCTTATTGGCTTTTTGTATGTCTTCTTTGGAGAAATGTCTATTCAGATCCTTTGCCCATTTTTAAAAATGGGTTATTTGGTTTTTTATTTTTGAGTTGTAAGAGTTCTTTATATATTCTGGATATAAGTCCCTTATCAGATAAATGATTTAGAAAATCTTCTCCCATTCTGTGGGATATCTTTTCATTTTCTTTTTTTTTTTTAAGATTTTATTGGGGAATTGGGGGAGGGGAACAGACAGGTAGACAAATTGCTGTTTTTGTTCTTCAGTCTAGTTGTGGAGGACGTCACTTCACTGGCCCATGTTGGTATGATCATTGTGCTCTTCCCGGGTGAGGCAATCAGTCGCCGGTCATTGGTCGGCTGCTCACAGCGGCTCCCGGCAGCTCACACCGGCTGCTGGCCACTCACGCTGCCTGCCACCTGCTCACATAGCTCACGGCAGCCCGCTGCAGCCCCGCTGCAGCCTACGCCATCGCCAGTGATTCACAGCAGCTCAACTCCAGGTCGAGCTGTTGTTCATCATCTTAGCTGTAGAGGGCAGTGTCACTGGCCCTCAATGTGGGGTCCGAACCGCAGCCCTGCTGCTCAGAGCTGGCACTCCCAAGCGAGCTCTTAACCAGCTGAGCCACTCTGCCAGCCCTCTTTTTATTTTCTTGATGGTGTCCTTTGAAGCACAAAAGTCTTTAATTTTGAAAATGTTCGATTTATTTATTTTTTCTTTTGTTGCTTATGTATCTGCTATTGTATCTATGAAACCATTGCCTAATTAGAGCTTACAAAGATGTATACCTATGTTTCTTTCTAAGAGTTTTATAGTTTTAGGTTTTAGGTCTTAAATCCATTTTGAGTTAATTTTTTTATCTAATGTGAGGTAGAGGGGCCCAGCTTCATCTTTTTGCATGTGGATACCCAGTTGTCTCAGCACCATTTGTTGAAGACTGTTCTTTTCCCATTGAATTATCTTGGCACCTTTGTCAATAGTCAAATGAATATAAATGTGAAGGTTTATTGGATTTTCAACTCTATTCCATTAATCTTTATGTTTCTCCTAGTGCTAGGACTACACTGTCTTGCTAACTGTGGCTTTGTAGTAAGTTTTGAAATTGAGAACTATAAATTCCAACTTTGTACTTTTTTCTCAAGATTGTTTTGACTCTTCTGGGTCTCTTGCATCTCCATATGAATTTCAGGGTCAGCTTATTAATTTCTACAAAGAAGCCAGCTGAGATTTTGATAGGGATTTCTTTGAATCTATAGAGGCACTATTTTTTAAAAGGCAATTCAGACATGGTTCACTCTTATTTTTAAATAAATCCTTGGTACATAAACAGTACCCTCCAGGTTACTATTGAATGACGTGAAAACTTAGATATGAGCCTCTGTATTGGGTATTTAAAAATATGTAACATGCAGGATGGTGAGTCTAGAGCTTCATAGTTGAGTTTTCTATATCTTCTGTCTTTACTTTCCTATCTAAAACTAGGTTTTTGGAGTATTTCCAATTACTTTTAATAGAAATGCAAAATATCATTGTCCTCATTTAAACTGCTTAAAAACTTAATGTATTAAGTCACATTTTTTGTTATGCCACATTATAATTTGAAATTTATAACATTTTTCAGGTTTAACTTTTGATTTGGTGTTTTTTTTTGTTTTTTTTTAAGCTGAGCCATCCTGCTACCTGTTGGCAGCTCAGCGGCTGCTCAGCTCGGGCTGGACCTGAACTGCTGTTGCTCAGAGCTCAAACTCCTGAGCGAGCTCTTAAACAACTGAGCCACTCGGCCAGCCCCTTGATTTGGTGTTTGAAATCCCCATATGCATCTTAGAAATTTAGAGAAAAACATAACTTTACCAGAAAGCACTGAAAGTCTTAGGATTTTAGAGCTAAATATTTATCTAGTTCCACAGTTCATCTGTAAAACAGATGTAGCTTTCTTAAGGAGGGAACGAAAGGTGATATAATTAATAGATGGGGAAACTATTAAATGATTAACCAGAAGTTTGAGACATCAAACTTTGAGACATCAAGTTTGTGATCATAATTTTAATTTTAAGAAATCAATTTTTAAAAAATGGATGAACAAGAAAGGGAAAAAAATTGGGCCGGCCAAGTGGCGTGTTGGTTAAGAGCTGGCTTGGGATGCCAGAGGGCCCCGATTCAGATCCCACATATGAGGGCCAGTGACACTGCCCTCTACAGCTAAGATGCTGAACAACAGCTCAACCTGGAGCTGGGCTGCTGTGAGTCGCCGCTGACACATAGGCTGCACCCCCTGCTGCAGTGGGTTGCCATGGACTACCGTGTGTAGCCAGCAGCCAGCGTGAGCGGCCATCAGCCGCCATGAGCAGCCGTCCAGAAGCTGGCGACTGATCTGCCTCGCCCGGGAAGAGCGCAATGATAGTACCAACTTGGGCCAGTGAAGCAACGTCCTCCACAACTAGACTGAAGAACAAAAGGACAGCAACTTGTCTGTTCCCCTTCCCCCAATTCCCCAGCGCTGTTCCCATCCCCCAATTCCCCAATAAAAATCTTTAAAAAAAAAAAAAGGGAAAAAAATCAATGTAAGTTAAAAAAATCTATCATATAGATATGTATATTCTTAATATTTTGGATTGGTCCAAGAGATTTCTGTTGAATTTTATTTTGTGATTTAGATGGACTTTATTGTAAAGGAAAACTTTGATATAGTTTATCAGCAGAATCAAGTTTCTTTTGATAAACTGCGGTGGTTCCAACCTGGGTCCAGGATAGCAGTAATGAGAGCCTATGAGGTATTTTCAGCATTTCAGAAAGTCTAACTGAAATTAAATATTTATCACTAATAATTTTGTACAGGTGAGCTAAAATGTTAAGTATCTTTACTATGGGTTAAAATTACAGTTGACCCTTGAACACTGCAAGAGTTAGGGGTGCTGACCCTCTGTGCAGTTGAAAATTCATATATATCTCTCCCCAAAAACTTAACTATAGTCAACCTTCAGTATGTGAGGGGGAGTGGTTCCAGAGCCCTCCTCGGGTACCCAAATGCCCAAGTCCCTTATAGAAAATGGCATATAGAACAATGCATACAGTCAGCCCTCCGCATCTGCAGATTCCCAACTGCGGATTGAAAATACTGTTTTCAAGCCACAGTTGGTTGAATCCATGGATGTGAAACCCATGGATATGGAGGTCTGACTATTGAAAAAAATCCTGTATAAGTGGACCTGCACAGTTCAAACTTGTGTTGTTCAAGGGTCAACTGTATATCAGCTAAGTATAGTAATATTGTTTATTTCTTACTGGTTAGAATCTTTAATTGACAGTTGATATGTCTTTGATAAAATGAATTTATAAATTTTTCCTGCAAAACATTTTAAAACATTAAGACCAAGTAGAGGTAAAAATAATGAAAGGAACTCTTCAGAGATGAATATGGAGAACCATTTTTTGAAACAGCTTTTCTATTCCTTCAACCTATTTTAAAATGCCAACTGTAACATATCCCTTTTTTTGGAGTTTGTTTCAAGTGCAAGTGCTAACTATTGACTTTTTCCTCCAGAGATTGCACTTAGCCCTAATAACCACGAAGTCCACATCTATAAGAAGAACGGGAGCCAGTGGGTAAAAGCTCATGAACTCAAGGAGCACAACGGACACATCACAGGTAAAGGAAGAGAACCGTGAGCATAGTACAATATTTCCAAATTTAGCACCGTTTCATTTAAATAGCCTAATAAAGTAAGCCTGCCAAATATTTAAAGTTGTGCGGCATTTACTGAGTTTTCTTTAGAAAATTTGAGAAAATAGCCTAAGAGTGATCTCAATTTTTAAGTGCTTCTTTTAGGCTAGGTGGTACACACCACTCTACAAGTGTTATGGAAAACACTGAACCTACAAGGACTCAAGAGCTTAGATTAGGAGATGAGACATGAAAGAGAAAACTGGATAGCATGTTAGCCGTGTGAAAATGTAAGCCAAGCTATGTTCCCAAGTGCGTGCTGAGGGAGCTCAGTGTCTTCTAAAAGCTTCCCATATGTTGTTTTTTGGGGCAAGGAAGACATTTAAAAACACTGAAAAGGACAAAGAGTAATGTAACAAACACCCTTATTTCTGCCACCCAGAATTAACAACTACTTATCTTTTTTTCTGTGCCAGAAAACTTAGGACACAAAGATTTTAATAAAGAATATTCTAGATGATGATGATAAAGTCCCCTCTCACCACCAGTCCTGTTCCTCTCCCTCAGTTGGCAGTCTATAATTTAGTGTGATATTATCCCAGTCCATTCTTAATAATTTTACATACATGTGTATATATTCATAAGCAATCTTTAATACTATTGGATAGTATTTTTAAGTGCTACATAAATGGCATCATATACATCTCTTGCAGCCTGCTTTTGCATTCTACATTGTTTCTGATCTCTACTTATGTTGGTGTATCTAGATCAAGTTTATTTCTTTTAACTGATGTTTGGCATTTCATACCTCATTAATTCTTTCCTCCATTGAAGGACATTTATGGTTTTTCCAGTTATTCCATTGAAGCGCTAAATCAAGCATTCCTATGCAGATCTCTTTGTACATGTATGAATGCTCATATATAGTAGACTTGTACCTAGGGGACATGTACATCTTCAGCTTTGCTAGGTATCATCAGATGGCCTTCATCCCACTAGCCTTGTACAGGTCTCGCACAGACTTGATATGGTCAGACTGTCTAATGAGTGAAAGGTGGTATCTGTATAAGTTGCATTTTCCAGATGACTAGAAAGGTTGAGCATATTTTCAGATGTTGATTAGCCATCTGGGTGAGTGTGTGGGTGTGTGTGTGTGTATATGCATATATGTGTGACTTTGCTATTTATAATTCCTGTCCATTTTGCCATTGAGTTTTTATCTTTTTCTTGTTGATTTGTAGAAGACTGGATCTTAAAGCTCTGGCTCAGAGGCAGATTCCTACATGTACATTAACTTTTGTCTTTGGCAAAGACTATCAATGACTAGATGGTTAGAGGTGTCAAGCAGGGCAGTACTACGTCTTATTAAACAAATGTCAAATTATGGAGGAGAAGAGGTAAAAACGGAGAATTTTTACAGTGATTTTCAGAATTTAGTGAACCAAATTCTGATACTAAATTTCAAGAGAATGCATTGCTTTGTTAAATCATGTCTGACTATTCTTTAAAAAACACACACATTCGCTCCCCAGGTATACAAAAAAATATGGGTAAAAGAAGTAGTTCCTTACATCACACAGGCACCCCAGTTGGGACCCCCTCTTGTTTTGAGAGCTGCTACTTTCAGCTCTAATAAAACTATCCTCTGCTGTAAACTTAAAAAAAAAAAAACAAATGAAAAACATATTCACTTACTGCTCTGTTCAGAAAGAGTTCTTGTTCTTTGATCCTTACTACTATAGTTTCTTTTTTATTCTGTTTTCTGGCAGAGTTGATTCAACCTCTTGCTTTAAATAATTTGGCCAAACACATAAAAACTTATTCTCCATAACTTGTTTTTTTTCCCATAACTTTTCAATTATACACACTTTTCACTGCAGTCTTGGGTTTCCCTTCTCCCAGTGACATTTGTGTTTAGGTGGGCAGCAAAAAGATTAATCATGATTTTTATTTTTTTAATTGGAACCCTGGAATTTTGCTTCTGATCCCCTAGCATACTGATTAGCTTAAAGATAGCCTTCCCCCAAATCAGAGAAACACAGCATGTTTTGACCTTCTGCACCCAGCAAAAACTTGTGACCATGCCTTCTCACTTTTACCAGGATTTCTATGTGATGCGAGTGAGTACCCGGAGCCGACTGACTATTACCGAACCAGCACCAAAGACGTAATTTCTACTTTTGTTGCTGTTGCTTTCCCACGACCTTATTTCTGTTAGATTTCGCCTATTTAAGTCCCTTCGCCCGTGGCCTTAAGGCCTAAAAATAAAAATACTCGTATTTTAAATTGGAATTTTAGCATTAGGAAATACTTTTAAATGAGAAAGGGCTAAAATGAAAGACCAAAGAAATAGTCAAAATAGTGAACTACTTAGTTCTGTCCTTTTTCTCCCCTGCTTCTTTTTTTGTAATCTTTTGAAGTTGGGCCTATTTTCTGTCCAAATGCTCAAATGACTTTTATATTTTTAGTTCTGGAAACAAAGTATTGTTGAAAAAATCTAAATATAACTATGTGGTAGGAGAACAACGATCAAACATATTTTCTTAGAAAGTTAGTAACTATGGGAAAAATAAATTATGTTCTGAGCTATTCTAGAAGAAAAGACTAGTTATTACTACAGAGAAAAAGGGCATGACAAACATCAAAAAGATATCAGTCCTGGTGTTTTTTTCTCTGTGAGTTCATTGTTTTGTGTTAAATGTTTAATCACTGTCTCTTTTTTAAAGGACATTTTACTATGGACAGTTTTAAACATAATGAAAATAGACAATAATTAACGAGTCCCTATATAGCCATCACCCAGGTTCAACAGTTTTTAACTCACAGCCAATCTTGTTCTCAACTCACTTCCTTCCTATACTATTTTGAAGCATATCCCAGAAATTATATAATTTCATATTTCAGTTGGTATCTCTAAAAGATAAGGACTCTTCAATAATAAACAATATAATAGTCTGTTTTAATTGGGATCCTAATAAGGTACATGTGGTTGTGATTAGTTTGTGTCTCTCTTTAAGTCTTTCGTGGATAGGTTCTGTTTCTTTTTCTTTGCAATTTATTTGTTAAGAAAATTGAGAAATCGAGTTGTTTGTTCTATAGTGTTTTCTGGATTTTACTGATTGCAAGCCCATGGTGTTTTACATATTTCTCTGTTCTCTGTATTTCTTATAAATTGCTAGTTGAAGTTAGGTGCGGTAGGTCCTTTCATCAAGGAGGCTCATAACATCTAGTTCTCTTTCTGTGATGTTAGCAACTGTTCATGATCAGTGCCCATATCCATTAATTTAGTAGTGGCTACAACATGGTGATATTCTAAATCTATCATTTCTTCTCTATTAGCTAGACCATATTTATAAAAGACGCTTACCTTCACCTACTGTTTGGTTACCCTAAGATACAGTCAGTATAGGAAAGACAGGATAGATTCTTGATTCCCTTCCTTTCCTTTCAACTCTTCTCATGTCAGGAAAACAAAAAATTATGTAAAGCTAAATTAGTAAGAGATGAAAATTTGCCTTTTACTGAATTTTTGCTCTTCCCATTTCTCTTTTTAACAAGTATGTGTCTGAAGAGCTAAAAGCTAATGTTATCTAAAATAGTTTGAGGTTATGACTATGGTTTTACAGCCTCCATATTCAAATTAAAGATGTAGCTACAAAAGTAGGCTTAGAACTACAATATAAAACCAAGCAGAAGGGCTCCTTATATTTTTTTTAAAGAGTAATGATTTATTGATTATTTTTTTAACACCTCGTTTAAGTACCTCAGGGATTCTTATAAAACACGTATGTATTTGGAGTCATGATCATATGGAATAAGGAATGAAATTTGAAATTGTCAAAATCATACAAAATCACTGAGCTTTCTCATTACAAGGCAACATTCTGGATGTTAGAGGATATAATAGTTTTCTATTGCTATGTAACAAATCCTATAAACTTAGCAGCTTAAACCAAAACACATTTATCATCTTACAGTTTTTGTGGGTCAAAAGTCTGGGCCTGGCTTATCTGGGACTCTGCTTAGGGTCTTACAAGCTATAAACAAGATGTCAGTGGGGGATGAGTTCTCATCAGAGGCTTGACCAGTGAAGGGTCCACTTCCAAGCTCCTTCAGGTTATTGGCAGAAGAATTCATTTCCTTGCAACTGTGAGATTCATGGCAGTTTGCTTCCTCAAAGCCAGCAATGGAGAAAGTGTGTGAGCCTCTTTAGGAAGAGGGGTGCCACACTCTTATGTAATCTTATGCAGTAATCATGTACATCTCATCACCTTTCCAGCATTCCATTGATTAAAATCAAGTCACAGGTCCTGCCCACACACAGAGGCATGAACACCAGCAGGCAAGATCACAGGGACTGCCCAGAACACTAGTTTCAAAAACTTGCTTTCTATTGTCAATAAACTTGTAATCAACTTAGGAAAACAAGACATTCATAAAAATAACAATATTTTGCATCACACTTCTGAGAATGTATCATAGAGAGGTAAAAAGGTACGTGCCTGAATGTTTACTCCAATTTTATATAAGAGATTGGAAACTAAAAAAAGTTCAACAATCGGATATTTGGGGAAATTATTATAAGATCAATATTCTAAAATAATGTATAACTACTACTAATGTATCAAAAGCAGGAGAAAATGTTTGCCATATTAACCTTGAGGGGAGGAATGTGTGTGGACATAAAGAACAGGGGCACGACTTGATTGACTTTCTGCATGACCCATTGTGATGTTTGTCTCATAACAATGGGTATTGCTTTTGTAGTGAAAAATAAACTTTTAAATCTAAATAAAGAGGACTGCAAAATACACATCACTTAGAACACACTCCCCCATGTATTTTTTTCTTCGGTGGTACAAATAAGTCGACATTTCTTATAGATGTATGAATGAATGAACTCTTCATACTGCTAAATCACTGACTTATGACTAATGGAGACTTTGATTTACTCGTATAGTCATCTTACTTTTTTCTATATAAGTGTTAAAAATGTTAATTATTAATTTATAGGGAGATATCTACAATAAAAATGTATTAGTAATATTTCTATGTGAAATTGTATTTATAGAAAATCCCTCATCAGTAGCTATAAAATGGATTGAGTCATAGCAGCTTTTACTCTTGGTATATAACAAACTGACCTTGACTTTGGGATCCTTCATAGAGTCACCAAATAAGTAAAAGACTGGTAAAATAGAAAAATGAACCTTACATTTGATACATTTTAGGTCTCTTCCTAATTTAGGTACAAAGATACTCAAGGACTCTTTCATAGAACTTGCATCATACCGAAAAGGTATTTAAGTTAGTTTATATGGCAGTGACCTTCAGAAGAATATATAATGAATCACAATTTTTATTTTTCCATCTATATACTGAAGATTATTTTTATTTACCCTGTATGTTGTTTCATTTGGATGTCATGTAGCAGACTTTCAGTTGATATCATTGAATGAGATGTGTTAATGAATGAATAATAAAGGTACTTTCAGACAAAGAAAAATCTAAGAGGGAAGAAAAAGGTCTTCAGACCTGGTATCTTTAGAAACCCTGTGAAAGGGTGGAAAGAATGTCCTCACTTAGTTTTGTAACCTCCACAATTATAAAATAGCTGTATTCTGCCTGGCCTCATGGAGGATCCCGAGTTACAGAACTTTGCAGAGAAAATCCTTGCCTTTGTGTGTGAGGTGGTGATCAGGACCTCATCTGTCCCTGCCACGTCAGTGCCACCTGCTTGTGCCATGTCAGTTGTCAGTGGCCCGGGCAAAGCAGGTGACGCCACATCTCACTTACAGGTATTGACTGGGCTCCCAAGAGCGACCGCATCGTTACTTGTGGGGCAGACCGCAATGCCTATGTCTGGAGTCAGAAAGATGGAGTCTGGAAGCCAACCCTGGTAATCCTGAGAATTAATCGTGCAGCCACTTTTGTCAAGTGGTCCCCACTAGAGAATAAATTTGCTGTGGGAAGTGGAGCACGACTCATTTCCGTTTGTTACTTCGAGTCCGAAAATGACTGGTGAGCAACATCTGAATATTTTATTTCTCTATAGAATCATACATTTTGACCACTGTATTCTTGGTGACTTCTTGAGGCACTGGGTGAAGGCTTGCCTATAACTTCAGTTTTTCCTCATCTGAAGATTTATTTTACCTCTGAAATTCTCCATTCTCTCTGAGCATTTTTCCTTCTTATGTGAACATTGAGTCAAATCTCACATCTTTCTCACATTAATATAGTGCTGTGGTTTCCATGTTCTGCTCTGCTAACTTGTTTGCTCTGTAAGGTGTTACTACTCTTCTGACTTTGTACTGTCCAAATTGTTGTTATTCTGATATATAAATCATAAACTTGAAAGATTCCCAGTGTCCTGAGGAATGATATTTTTTCCTCACCATCTCTATTCATTTATTTATTTATTTATTTATTTATTTATTTATTTATTTATTTATTTATTAGCTGAGCCATCTTGCCACCTGTTGACAGCTCAGCAGCAGCTCAGCTCGGGCTGGGAATCGAACTGGCAACCCTATTGCTCAGAGCTTGCACTCTTTTTTTTTTTTTTTAAGATTTTATTGGGGAATCGGAGGGGAACAACAAGTTGCTATCCTTTTGCTCTTCAGTCTATTTGTGGAGGACATCGCTTCACTGACCCATGTTGGTATTATCATTGCGCTCTTCCCGGGTGAGGCAGTTGCTTGCCGACCATTGAATGGCCGCTCACGGCAGCTCATGAAAGCACACGCCCACTGCCGGCCAGCCCCACTGCAGCCTACACCGTCGCCGGTGACTCACAGCAGCCCAGCTCCAGGTCAAGCTGTTGTTCACCATCTTAGCTGTAGAGGACGCAGCGTTGCTGGCCCTCATGTGGGATCTGAACCGGGCCCGGCTGTATAGAGCTGGTGTCCCAAGCCAACTCTTAACCAGCGCGCCACTTGGCTGACCCTCAGAGCTTGCACTCTTGAGCGAGCTCTTAACCACTGAGTCACTCAACCGGCCCACCATCTCTATCCATTTAAAATATCTAGGATTGGTACAGATTAACAGTGTTCTCCTTTCTTTAAAGTTTGCTAACCAAATCTGTGTCTTAATATAATGTTTTACTTGTTTAAACCATTGAAGTAAAAGTTGACCAGGATCTTGGAAATATAATCAGCCTATTATACTACTCTTTTTATAAATCACTTGTAGCTGAGCCGAACAGAGGTTTATTTTATAACTAAGTAACTTACTTGAACCACTCCTTCCTGCTTACTTTGATAAGAAAATGACTGCTGTATCTGGCATGCATTCAGAAAGGGTGGTAAATACCCTTCAACATGAAACTGTCATTTAGTACAAAACTGGCAGTGTATTTGCACTAAAAATAGCAGAGTACACATTACTCTTTGTGTCAGTGTACTGTTTGCTTTTTGTTGAAACAGTGAAAGAAAGGGATTGTCATGTTACATTTTGTAACTTAGTAAAACCTCAGAAATTTTGATTGTTTGAAAAAAGTGAATTTGCAGCAAGATTGAATTATGAATTTAAGACATGCATATTTTCTTTGAAGCATGTGTAAAATTAAGGCTAACAAAATGTTGCCTGTTAAAAATCATTTAGAAGGCTCACTGTATGGATAGGTGAGAAACAACTTTTCTTCCTAGATAACCCTCAATGTCAGTTTGTTTACATTTTTATTCATTAAAATATAGTCTCAAATATAGGTAAAAATTGGGCTTTACTGTAGTACAAAGAATTGTCATTTGAACAAGCTGTATGTTCAGGGGAGTTTCTCAGCCATGGAACAATATTTCAATAATACTTTAAAACAACCTCTAAATGCCTTAATTTAAAATAACTACCTTGGGCGGGCTGAGTGGCTCAGTTGGTTAAGAGTTAGCTTAAGAGCGTGAGCTCTGAGCACGTGTTCCTAACAACAAGGCTGCCTGTTCTATGGTGGGCTACGCCCGCCCGCAACTAAGACCGAACTCGGCATCTTGAGCTGAGCTGCTACCCAGATAGCTCTGTGGACAGAGCATGTGCTCTTAACAACAAGGCTGCCGGTTCGACTCCCACATGGGATGGTGGCTGTGCTACCCACAACTAAGACTGAACTCATCACCTTGAGCTGAGCTGCCACCCAGATAGCTCAGTGAATAGAGCATGCGCTCTTAACAAGGCTGCTGGTTCGACTCCCTCATGGGATGGTAGCTACGCCCACCTGCAACTAAGATTGTAACACAGCATCTTGAGCTTAGAGGCCACAAGCTACCGGTGGGCAGCCAGATGGTGACTGGCGCCCTCCACAACTAAGAATGAAGAACAACAACTTGGCTAGTCCCCTTCCCCAATTCCTCAACACTGTTCCCCTCCCCCAACTCCCCAATTAAAAAAATAACTAAAAATAAAATAACTACCTTATTAAACAAGTCAGAATATTGTCTATTGAATATTTCCAAAATATTCAATATTTTTTCAAAATATTCAAATATATTTTTTATATTGAATATTTTCAGAATGAAATTTTTCAGATAAGTTTCTAAGAAAAAGATTCTATAAAAAAATAATTTAGCATCAAGGAAGGGTATTTGACACAATATTAAGTCTCTCATCATGACTGGTTTTTAAGCAGTAGTTTTGGGGGCAGATACTGATTTAGTTAAGCCAGAATCATGACTGATCTTAGAATAAATAAACTCTAAGTGGAGCTAGGGAATTAGTTAAAGGCTAATCTCCAACAGGAGGTTCTGCTAATTTCTTGGTTGTGATTTCTCTGTGAAAAAAGTTAAAAAGAATTTGCAGCTTCTGGAAACTTAGCATTGGAAACAGGAAATTAAGCTGTCTTACAACCCAGCCTAACCCAAAATGAAATAATAAATTACTGCATATTTATTAATAAAAATTCAAGTAATTTCAAACCTCAATTTGTATTTCAAAGGTTAAAGTCACACGTAATCTGAAATTCCATGGGACAGTACTAGAGTTAATCCATAAATATACTTAACTAATGAGGATCCCCTGGGAACCAGACAAGTTCAGAACTGGTTGCCCTGATGAGAATGTCAAATTCTAAAAGAGGAAAAGAAAAGGGACCATCTATGGTTGTTTCTTTCTTCCTTTAGAAATGCACCTTCTCTCTGGCAGGAGAGCTGGTAACCACATAAGAACCATGCATTGGGGTTTTCACCTGACACATTTATAGGTCGTTTGAGGGCTGTTATTTGATGTGTGGATAAACTAAAATGGATTTTCTCCTTTTGTAGGTGGGTAAGCAAGCACATTAAAAAGCCAATTCGTTCCACTGTCCTCAGCTTGGATTGGCATCCCAACAATGTTTTGCTGGCAGCAGGATCATGTGATTTCAAATGCAGGTGAGAACAAATGAGAATTGGTAGACAGACTTGAGTTGTTTGTTGTTCGTCTTTCAACAAATATTTTTAAGGTTCCTTTTCTTTGCAAGGTACTATGCTAGGCACCATGAGGGCTTCACAGATGAAAAGAGCTTGTGAGCTAGAAAAGGAGCTAAAGTAAGTACATAAATTACTGAGGTAGAAAGAAGTGGATTTGGAGGTGTAGTAGGAGGGAGATTGCAGGGGTGGGGACAGGGAAGTTTTCCTTCTGCAGAACATCCAGGTTTCAAGTGGGGCTATAGTGTTCTCCCCTCACCCCAACTACAACATTATTTCTCATTTCATTACCCGGGCAGCAGACTCTGCAAATTGCAGAGTGAAACTCAGATTAACAAAGCATAACTAGCTGAACAGTGCGCACTGCTGAGCTATTACAGTGCTATTCCTTTTCAGTTAAAGCTTTTCTTTGTCATGATCATGAGGCTAGAAGAACATAAACAGTTAAGAGCTTTAAGGATCATACAGTGTAATCACTTTTCAAAGTTCTTTATCAGCGAGCTTTTTTTTCTGTTAGACAATAGAAAAGCAGATGTTGTTTAATGTTGATGATGTGGTGGGTTGGGAGATGGGATGCATCTTTCTTTAGTAGGCTACTTGGAGAATTTCCAGAAAACCTGGCTAGTGTTTTTTGTTTTTTGAGCCTTTTTTTTTTTTTTCTTTAATACACTTGTGGGCATTTGGCTGTGGAAGGGGAAACAGTAATGTCAAGGCACTTCTGGGGGGAAATATTTGTTCTTAAGAACCGTCTAACAGTAAAGATAAATAGACATTTTCTAGAGTTTCTCATATTTAGGAGTTTTGTTGTTTGTGATGTGTTACCCAGAGTCATTCTAGCTCCCTTAGAAGATGGAAATAAGTAGTACTGTACTGATCCATACCACCTGGATCATCAAGCTATGTCTAAAAATCTGGTTGTGAAAATGGGTTACAATTCTTCTGTTAATAATGATTTCCAGAAATAAAGTTTACTTTGACTTGTAGTCCTGTGGTTATGGGTCTTTTCTGTTGGCACTCTCCAGTTGGCAGCTGAGAATCACCTGTTCTTTCCTGCACTCTGATGATGAAAGCAGTAGCCATTGTGATGCTGATTTAAAGCACAGCTATTCTAAGGTCACATCATCTAACTTACAGATAACTGCCCTTCACCTCCCTAGTGCCTTGCTTGTTCCAGAACTGCTGCTGCCATTATCATTTTGGGGAAATACTCCGGATCACTTAGGGAGTCTTTAGGTGCAGAAGTTTTTGAAGAGAAGCTTTACAAAGTAGGAATAGCATTGGAGGGCAAAAGGGAATAAAACAATAGATTCCCAGCTGTTCTTTATCCCTTTATCCCTTTTGCTTCCCACCCCTGGGTCAAGGAATTAGAGGCAGAGACTGATGACAGCAGGCTGGAAAGGACCCACCTTCATCGCAGACTATACCTGCCACAAAGACTGGACAGCGGGCCTGAGGGTAGAGTGAGCCCAGCCCTCTGCCTGCCTGCTTTCCCTCCCCATTGGAGGCCCACGGCTTTCCTTGGCTTTCTCTTTGGATGTCCCTTTCTTTAATTGGGTTCATACCATTAGTTTATTGCTGGGTGGCAGTAATTTCCTTTCTCCTACCCTACTGTGGGCTTCCTGGAATCCTGTGATGGTGAAGTAGACAGGAAGGAATGCTGTGCTCACTTAGCCAGATCTCCCATGAGCAAGGGAGGGTGGGACAGCGCGATTCTCCCCCAGAATGTGCACTCCAGGGGGGAAGGGCTTTTGCATCTAGTCTAGAACTGCGCTCCTAGAGCAGTGCCTGACACATCATCAGCGCTCTGAATATCCATTGATTGAGGATGGATTTGCCAAACTTGGATTGACCTATAGGACAGCCTAGCCATTCTGTGTCTTAAGAGATTTTGCATATCTGAACTTGTCTGTCATATTTTGCTCTTCATGTATCAATCTCTTTGCATTCTAGGACACTTGACAGCAGCTGCCTGTGGCCTATTTCTATATACTACATATATTTTCATTTACTTTTTCCTTCTCTCCCTGACTCTTAAACTGCAGAGTGTTTTCTGCGTACATTAAAGAAGTGGATGAAAAACCAGCCAGTACGCCCTGGGGCAGCAAGATGCCGTTTGGTCAGCTGATGTCAGAGTTTGGTGGCAGTGGCACTGGTGGCTGGGTGCATNTTTGTCAAGTGGTCCCCACTAGAGAATAAATTTGCTGTGGGAAGTGGAGCACGACTCATTTCCGTTTGTTACTTCGAGTCCGAAAATGACTGGTGAGCAACATCTGAATATTTTATTTCTCTATAGAATCATACATTTTGACCACTGTATTCTTGGTGACTTCTTGAGGCACTGGGTGAAGGCTTGCCTATAACTTCAGTTTTTCCTCATCTGAAGATTTATTTTACCTCTGAAATTCTCCATTCTCTCTGAGCATTTTTCCTTCTTATGTGAACATTGAGTCAAATCTCACATCTTTCTCACATTAATATAGTGCTGTGGTTTCCATGTTCTGCTCTGCTAACTTGTTTGCTCTGTAAGGTGTTACTACTCTTCTGACTTTGTACTGTCCAAATTGTTGTTATTCTGATATATAAATCATAAACTTGAAAGATTCCCAGTGTCCTGAGGAATGATATTTTTTCCTCACCATCTCTATTCATTTATTTATTTATTTATTTATTTATTTATTTATTTATTTATTTATTTATTAGCTGAGCCATCTTGCCACCTGTTGACAGCTCAGCAGCAGCTCAGCTCGGGCTGGGAATCGAACTGGCAACCCTATTGCTCAGAGCTTGCACTCTTTTTTTTTTTTTTTAAGATTTTATTGGGGAATCGGAGGGGAACAACAAGTTGCTATCCTTTTGCTCTTCAGTCTATTTGTGGAGGACATCGCTTCACTGACCCATGTTGGTATTATCATTGCGCTCTTCCCGGGTGAGGCAGTTGCTTGCCGACCATTGAATGGCCGCTCACGGCAGCTCATGAAAGCACACGCCCACTGCCGGCCAGCCCCACTGCAGCCTACACCGTCGCCGGTGACTCACAGCAGCCCAGCTCCAGGTCAAGCTGTTGTTCACCATCTTAGCTGTAGAGGACGCAGCGTTGCTGGCCCTCATGTGGGATCTGAACCGGGCCCGGCTGTATAGAGCTGGTGTCCCAAGCCAACTCTTAACCAGCGCGCCACTTGGCTGACCCTCAGAGCTTGCACTCTTGAGCGAGCTCTTAACCACTGAGTCACTCAACCGGCCCACCATCTCTATCCATTTAAAATATCTAGGATTGGTACAGATTAACAGTGTTCTCCTTTCTTTAAAGTTTGCTAACCAAATCTGTGTCTTAATATAATGTTTTACTTGTTTAAACCATTGAAGTAAAAGTTGACCAGGATCTTGGAAATATAATCAGCCTATTATACTACTCTTTTTATAAATCACTTGTAGCTGAGCCGAACAGAGGTTTATTTTATAACTAAGTAACTTACTTGAACCACTCCTTCCTGCTTACTTTGATAAGAAAATGACTGCTGTATCTGGCATGCATTCAGAAAGGGTGGTAAATACCCTTCAACATGAAACTGTCATTTAGTACAAAACTGGCAGTGTATTTGCACTAAAAATAGCAGAGTACACATTACTCTTTGTGTCAGTGTACTGTTTGCTTTTTGTTGAAACAGTGAAAGAAAGGGATTGTCATGTTACATTTTGTAACTTAGTAAAACCTCAGAAATTTTGATTGTTTGAAAAAAGTGAATTTGCAGCAAGATTGAATTATGAATTTAAGACATGCATATTTTCTTTGAAGCATGTGTAAAATTAAGGCTAACAAAATGTTGCCTGTTAAAAATCATTTAGAAGGCTCACTGTATGGATAGGTGAGAAACAACTTTTCTTCCTAGATAACCCTCAATGTCAGTTTGTTTACATTTTTATTCATTAAAATATAGTCTCAAATATAGGTAAAAATTGGGCTTTACTGTAGTACAAAGAATTGTCATTTGAACAAGCTGTATGTTCAGGGGAGTTTCTCAGCCATGGAACAATATTTCAATAATACTTTAAAACAACCTCTAAATGCCTTAATTTAAAATAACTACCTTGGGCGGGCTGAGTGGCTCAGTTGGTTAAGAGTTAGCTTAAGAGCGTGAGCTCTGAGCACGTGTTCCTAACAACAAGGCTGCCTGTTCTATGGTGGGCTACGCCCGCCCGCAACTAAGACCGAACTCGGCATCTTGAGCTGAGCTGCTACCCAGATAGCTCTGTGGACAGAGCATGTGCTCTTAACAACAAGGCTGCCGGTTCGACTCCCACATGGGATGGTGGCTGTGCTACCCACAACTAAGACTGAACTCATCACCTTGAGCTGAGCTGCCACCCAGATAGCTCAGTGAATAGAGCATGCGCTCTTAACAAGGCTGCTGGTTCGACTCCCTCATGGGATGGTAGCTATGCCCACCTGCAACTAAGATTGTAACACAGCATCTTGAGCTTAGAGGCCACAAGCTACCGGTGGGCAGCCAGATGGTGACTGGCGCCCTCCACAACTAAGAATGAAGAACAACAACTTGGCTAGTCCCCTTCCCCAATTCCTCAACACTGTTCCCCTCCCCCAACTCCCCAATTAAAAAAATAACTAAAAATAAAATAACTACCTTATTAAACAAGTCAGAATATTGTCTATTGAATATTTCCAAAATATTCAATATTTTTTCAAAATATTCAAATATATTTTTTATATTGAATATTTTCAGAATGAAATTTTTCAGATAAGTTTCTAAGAAAAAGATTCTATAAAAAAATAATTTAGCATCAAGGAAGGGTATTTGACACAATATTAAGTCTCTCATCATGACTGGTTTTTAAGCAGTAGTTTTGGGGGCAGATACTGATTTAGTTAAGCCAGAATCATGACTGATCTTAGAATAAATAAACTCTAAGTGGAGCTAGGGAATTAGTTAAAGGCTAATCTCCAACAGGAGGTTCTGCTAATTTCTTGGTTGTGATTTCTCTGTGAAAAAAGTTAAAAAGAATTTGCAGCTTCTGGAAACTTAGCATTGGAAACAGGAAATTAAGCTGTCTTACAACCCAGCCTAACCCAAAATGAAATAATAAATTACTGCATATTTATTAATAAAAATTCAAGTAATTTCAAACCTCAATTTGTATTTCAAAGGTTAAAGTCACACGTAATCTGAAATTCCATGGGACAGTACTAGAGTTAATCCATAAATATACTTAACTAATGAGGATCCCCTGGGAACCAGACAAGTTCAGAACTGGTTGCCCTGATGAGAATGTCAAATTCTAAAAGAGGAAAAGAAAAGGGACCATCTATGGTTGTTTCTTTCTTCCTTTAGAAATGCACCTTCTCTCTGGCAGGAGAGCTGGTAACCACATAAGAACCATGCATTGGGGTTTTCACCTGACACATTTATAGGTCGTTTGAGGGCTGTTATTTGATGTGTGGATAAACTAAAATGGATTTTCTCCTTTTGTAGGTGGGTAAGCAAGCACATTAAAAAGCCAATTCGTTCCACTGTCCTCAGCTTGGATTGGCATCCCAACAATGTTTTGCTGGCAGCAGGATCATGT